GCCCATGTGTTCGCCACGGTAGATTGGTTTCTTTTTCAATCCTGTGGGAACCGTGATGGTCAGCAGGTTCTCTGGCTCGATGTAGAAGGCTTGTGTTTGCCTCGCAAGCTCGATGTCCAGTAAGTTGGATTGTGCAAAGGCCCTGGCAATGTTCCTGACGGTGGCTTGGCTTGCTTTGATATAAATACGATGGTTGTTGACGGTGCGGTATGGCTGAGCCAACTGTTCGAACATCGCGTCAACGAATTGGTTGAAGAGCTGCGAGATAGCCGGGGTCAATGATTGGCGTAGGGGGACAACATGGTCGGGGCCAAGCTCAGTCAGGCAGCGGACCCTAAGGGGATCATTGGCCGCCTCAACCATTTCACTGAGGTCGATGTCATTCGTGTCGAACTTGGTGATCGAAATTGTATCTGCAACCTCAGAATTTTCACTGTCGCCGTCAGGGACTCGGAAGGACACAGCGCCGAGTGGTGCTGAAGTGTGGGTTGGTGGGTTGGTTGGTGGTTCCGGTGGTGGTGGATCGGCAGGAGAATTGGGTCGAGCATTGTGGTGATGGTAGTTGTCGGTGTAGTGGCTGTCATTCCATGTACCCCAGGTGTCATCAGCGTCGGGAGTGGGGATGTAGTTTGGATTGGATGGGTTTGCAGCAGGTCGAAGTACGACTTCCCGGCCTCTGGATCGGTGGCGTGGTGTCGCGGAACGTGGTCGTGGGTGAGATCGGTGACGTCGAGGAACCACGGGAGAGCGGCATCTTGGTGGTGATCGTCGTCTGTATGGAGATGGAGTTCTGCGGTCCTTGGCATGTTTCGTGGATGACCGATAACGAGGAAGAGGAGAACGAGGTCGATCTGCACGTTGAGGAGAATAGCGAGGGTGATGGGAACGGACAGAAGGTCGATGGGAACGTGATCTTGGAGTCCTGGATCGTGGTCGGCGTGTTGGTGATGGTGGAATATGTAGTTGGTGAGGAGGAGCGATGGCTGGAGCTTGGACAATGCGAAGGTCCGGAGCGTCAGGTTCGGTGGGTCTGGCTTTCGGTGCAGGTGGAGGCGTGGCGATCGGTGGTGGTGCAGTTGGAGTGGGTGGTGTCTGTGGAATAGGGTTCGGTGGAGGTCCATCTTGTTGGAGAAGTAGCTGACGTTGTTCTTGGGCTCGTTGAGAATCCATGATCAATTGTTGCTGAGCTTGAATAAGTCGAACGGATTCCGCAAGTTGTTGTGCAGTGGAGCCCAATGCTACCAGTTCAGGTGACACGGATGAAGTCGGTGCTGTCGTAGGTGTTGGTGGCGTAGCAGGAGGAGAGGCTTTTGGAGCTGGCCTGCGCGGGCGATCCATTCTTTTGTCAGAGCGAGGCCTTGGAGCCGCCTTAACTGCTGGGGCCCGTGGTGAAGGTGCATTTGGAGGAACCATCGATGCGTCCGTCTGTAATGGAGGTTGAATGTGGTTGGAGAGCTGGGCAAAGGTGTCGGTGGCGTAGTCGATGTAGGTGGTGTAGTCGATGTAGGGGATGGAGCCGGAGGAGAAGGCCACGCGGGTGGAGCGGTGGGTGCCGTAGGAGATGGAAAGGTCGACGGAGCGGTGTGCACCATAGAGGTTTCAGGAGCCAAAGGCGAGGGCATGGTGGGTACGAGCTGTGGGCCTGGTACTGCATGAGGAGCCGGAGTCAATGAGGTGAACGGCAACGATGTTGGGGCTGGTGTAGACGGCATGAGCGAAGCTGATGAAGACCATGTAGGATGCAATGCCGAAGGATGTCCAAATAGATGTGCGTTCTGCGATGATTGCTGCCACGTCGAAGATGGGTTCGCAGGCTGCGGTGGAGCAGGCCATGACGTCGGAGGAGTGGGCCACGGATACATCGCTCACGAAGAATAATGAAAATTAATGAAATTGCAACGACAGGACTCAGTTCCTAGACCTACTGTTCGTGCAATTGTGCCACAACAGGCCCGTGTTCCAGTCAGCCACAAGGGCATAAAACAGCGTTCAAGTTCCATCGAATTAGATGCACAACATGATTCACCTCACCAGAGAACCAAAAGGAAAGAAAACCAAACCTGCAAGTCGTGTGCCTGCCTGATCCTTTTCCATGTACTGTTGCAATGTGACTTCAAAAGCTGCTGCGAAGAAGGAGGTTTCTGAGTGTTCAGCACCGCTTCACAATCAAAGAGCTGCTTCCACTGGAGCTCGCAAGGGACAGCCGGAACGGCAGGACATCTCAAAAAAGTGGCAGAACAGAAAGGCCAACTGTTGCGAATTACTTAGATGAATTACTAAGTTAAAATGTGTAAATTCGGCAGTCGAAACAGTCATCACTCACCCTAAAAAGGGTTGCCTCAAATGGCTCCATGGCACCATGTCGGAGCCACCATGGAAATCACACTAGACAAGAATGGATCATTATATGATCCGGCAGGAACTGAATCCTGAAACATGCAGATTAGATACGAAACAATGAAATTAACGATGCATCCTACGAATAAAGGAAGTACTTCAGAATGGTCATCGGGTTCAGAATCGACATCAAAAAGAATAAATAAACCGGCAACAATATCATCGGCGATGTCTCGGCGAAGCTTAGCCAATAAATAAATAACTGTCGGCGACGATGGTGTCGGCGATCATGTAAACAGATTGTTCCAAGTATATTTTCTACGTCCTTGCTCTGAGGAAGGTTCTGATGCAGCAAAACCGTGACATGGTTTCGGCGAAAATACAGATTGTGGCAACCGTGAAGAAATAAATAAATAAATTGACATTGAGGTTCTTGGGTTGAGCCTCTTCCCATCAGCAGACATTGACAATTGAATGGAAGCAAACCCTGAACAACAGGTAATCACAACAATGCAGGTACACCAGGGTGATCAGCCCCGGCTTCCACCATCATGCATAGCTTCGTTGGCATGCGTTTGCATGATGGCCGCATGCCCCCTGCAAATGTAAAAAGGTTCCCTGCAAATGTCAAACGGTAAGAGTCAAAGAAGTTTTACATCTGTTCAGATGTTACACACACACACACCCCCACACACCCCCACACACCCCCACACACCCCCACACACCCCCACACACGCGCACACACGCGCACACACGCGCGCACACACGCGCACACACGCGCACACACGCGCACACACGCGCACACACGCGCACACACGCGCACACACGCGCGCACACGCGCACACACGCGCACACACGCGCACAAGCCCCTTTTGCCGCCACGAGCGCGGCACTCGAGCGTTCTTACGAGAACATTAGGCTGACATCCTGCGCTGATTTTCGTTCCATTTCGATTTGTGCCATTTACCTGCGACCTCGCTGCGTTTGCCATTTTTGATTTTGCAATTTCCTATTCATTGCTGCATTCATTTGACTTCAGGCCTTTCACATTGGCTCCAGCTTGTGATTTCTCTCAACCTGGTTTTGCTGGTGACCTGGTTGTCACTGATCTGAAACAGGGCATCACGGCGCCATTTGCATTCCCAACTTGGTATCTGGTGCGACTGTTTTGGCTAGTGCATTGCTTTTTGACTGGGACGTTCCGTTGGAATTTCCACTCTGATAGTGCTGTTGAAGGCCACTTTGCATTGCCATTACAGCTACATAGCTTCTGTAGACTGCAACTGCAACAGCAAGCGCCGGCACACTGCGGGATTGGCTCCGACCATCAACTGACTGGCCAGCCGGTGTCTTGCAAGCTTACAGCGGACTGGAGTGAGGACACCTGGAACAGACTGGGAAATCATAATTTATTTCTTTTTTTGGGCTACAATTCACTGACACACTGCGGGATTGGCTCCGATTTACTGTCTGGCCTGTCGGTGGATTGGTTTTGCCCTCGAAACATTTATTTTGCAGACAAGTGGGATCTTATACAGACAGATTGGTTTTGGACCCCTGACCTCCTTATTCATCAAGTGTGGAGTTCACAGTCAAACTGCAGGGTAGGCTCCTGGCCCCCGCTGTCTGGCCTGACTGCTGACTCACATACAGAAACGGCAGATCACATTGCTCTTCAGCTCTGCGAGCGGCTTTTTCCTTGGAGCTGGACCCCGTTTTTGTATTTTTGGCACTTGGCACAAGCCTTTGGGTATCAGCTACTGCAACCTCTGACACACTGCGGGATTGGCTCCGTACAGCTGGCTGGCCTGTCAGAGGTTTGCAATACAATTTTTTGCAATTCATTCAATACATTTTATTGCCAACAAACAGATTTCTCTGTGTGCACTCAACAAGCGGAACCCAAACATTTTGGAAGATCCACAGGACCGACCATAGGTTCTCAGTCACACTGCAGGGTAGGCTCCTGCCATTTACTGACTGGCCTGACTGAGTTCCTGGTTGCCAAAACAGGGGTGGGCTCCCTTACTGATTGTCCCATACAGGAGTGTTCACACAGACTGGACTCTGACCAACACAGCTCAGCTACGACTGGTGGTACAGGCTTGGTGATTGACCCCCTTTTTTGGGCAAAGCGGTCCTCGACACACTGCAGGGTAGGCTCCTGTTCACTGACTGGCCTGTCGAGGACGCAACAACAGACCATATTGCGCCACTTGCAACCACCGACACTGGCATTGGAAGAGAACAATTTTCCTTTAATCTGGGCGTGGATTCCTCTGCTCTGGCTGGTCTTGCTACAGTGGACTTTTGCATATATTCAATTTTCACAGGTGCTTCAATTCACTCTTTTTTGCTGGAGCCTGACACTTGTGCGCATTGCTCTCATTGACACTGCAGTCGAGGCAATAATTTTATTTCTGATTGAGGGATTGGTACTTCTGCTGGCTAAAGACGCCCTTGAGTCCCACCTTCACAATATTTGGCACAGATCATTTTTTCGTTTTTGCGGGATTGACAGTCTGAACAGCGCGAGACTGCTGCCTCAACGCGGCAAACCTGGTCCCAAGTCCAGGAGCAAACAACCTAGTGGAGACAATAGCAGACACTGGTCTTTCCGTGCTTTCTTTTGTGTGTCTGCCTTAGTCATTGTCTTCCTTGCCATGTTTGCTAGGGGTGAAGGTTACGTCTCAGTCATGGGAGACGTTGAAGCGTCAACCAGCTGGCAACAAGGACTGATTGAGAAGGCTGACGCGAAGCGACATGACATGCGACCAGCATCTAGCTTTCATGCTATCCCCTGGCACCCTACTCAGACTCAGGTCACCAAAAGAAGCATCCGAAGAGCCTACGTCAGAGCATGCACTCATGGAATAGCTTGGTATAAAGGTAAGTGTTACACCCCTCAAGACTTCCCAAAGTGCCTCAGTAGCCAACCAATGAACCCTCAGCACACAGCAGTGCCATCCCATGCATCGGCCCTGCAAGCTTGCAATCGCCGGAACCAAGACTCCCGACGTTTACGCTTGTTGAACTGGAATGCAGGAGGCCTGGCTGCCCCCAAGTTGGATGAGATAAAAATTTGGATGGAACACAACCACATTGACATTGCGGTCATTAGTGAAACCAGAATGACCTTTGAGAGTGAATGGAGTGACGGCCGTTGGCTCCATGTCCATACCGGCCAGACCAATCAAAGAGGAGCTGGTATCATGTGCATCATTTCCACACGTTTTTGCCCGACACAGAATCTGCGTTGGAGGGTTGTTACCCCTGGACGGCTGATGCATGTCCAAGTGCAACTCAAACACCGTGCCATTGACGTGGTCTGCTGTTACCAGCATACCCAAGCCCATAATGCCACCCGCAGATCCGAACGTGCACAATGGTGGAATGATTTGAATGCTTTGCTTAATGGACTTGCCATTAGGAACACTTTGTGTTTGGCTGGTGATTTCAACACCAGCCTGATGCAACATACATCACATGCCGGCCCTGCCCACTACCTGTGGCGTGGAGTCCAAACCTATGGCGCTCAACACGAGGACCAAGGGAGATTCATGTCCACCCTCAGAACCCATGGACTTGTTGCTCTGAACACATGGCACAGTGCATTAGGACCAACATACGTTCACCATGATTGCAGCTCCAGAATTGATTACATCATCACTCGAAAAACTATTGCTGACGGAGTAGCCAAACAAATTAAATATGCATGGGATGCGCCCTTTTGTGGCACCACTGGACATGCCCCCATGATTGGTTTACTTCGTAAAATGTGGATTCCCCAGGATGGTGAGACAGCTGCACATACTGTCAGCCCTGCACAGAGAAGGCAGGGCCATCAGGCCTTTAGGCTTGGGACCGACACCTGGACACGTTTCACTGAAGAGGCTGGCCAAGCGATTCTTCACCGACTCCAACAGGTCACGGGCCCAGATGAAACTGCCATTTCAGATTTGCACCGCATTGCATGTCAAAAATTTCAACATTTTTTCCAAAACAAGTGACCATCAAACCCAGTGACACAGCTGCCCACACACAAATACTTCACAAATGGGGTCATCGGAAAGCTTTCTTGCGATTTACCACCGTTTCAACTCAGAATCTTTTTCATGCCTGGTATCACGTATCTAGGTTCCAGATTCTGAAACGACGTGCCAAGATACATGCATGGAGCGTCCGACAACTCAGATTCCAGGAAGTCATTGCCAGTGCGACGGCTGCAGCACTGAAACATGATACTCATTCTTTGTTTCAAATCATCAACAAATTTTCACCCAAACAGCCAATGCGCAGAATGCAACTTCGAAATCAGCAGGGACAGATCGCCAGTCCCCCGGAGGAAACAGCCATGTTGCGTCATTTCATACAGGAAACCTGGAAAGGGCCAAAGAGTTTTGAAACACCAGATGCATCCATCCCAGCTCTGCCATTTTCTCAGGCCGAGCTACTGCATGCACTGAGCCAGATGCCTGCTACCAAGGCAGTAGCGCGACCATGTGCTCCGGCAATTGTGTGGAAGTCCATTGCCCCCCAGATTGCCCAAACCATGTATGAGGTCTTGACGAAATGGTGGGTTGGGGCACAGCCCTTTATACCTAAATGGTTTAAAGATAGCTGGATGATCCTAATCCCAAAACCCCATAAGCCTCCGGTGCACCCCAGGGCATTGCGCCCTTTGGCGCTGCAGGAACCATTAGGTAAGTCTGTGGTAGGCCTTTTGGCCTCACAAGCACAGGTTGCGATGATGCCCATCATCACCCCCTGGCCTATCTGGTCCTACCTTCCCTGCCGTTCCACACAAGATGCATTGCTTCGAGTGACCATGCATTGCAGGGCCATACGCACCTTGCTAGCTGGACAGAGATCGACTCCGTTCACCCGTGAACAGAAAGCAGTCAGATACAAAACAGCAGGAGGCATTGGTATCTTTTTGGACATTGAACGGGCATTTGACATGGTCAGCCGCCCCCAACTATTTTCCAAGCTCATCACCCTAGGAATCCCAGAACCTGTGGCTTGCCTCCTCACTCACTGGCACCAAGATACCTGTTATCATCTTTTTTCCCATGGTGTTGATGAGGGGATCTCTGTTGGCCGCGGCCTCCGACAGGGGTGTAAGGCGGCACCCCTGTTGTGGAACAGCTACCTGTTGCTGTTTCTCCAAACCTTGAGTGACAGAGTTGACAGACAGTGGATCCAACGCTGTATCAACTTTTATGCAGACGATGGCCAAATTGGAGATGTTTTCCATTCAGAGTTTGCTTTCCAAGAACTCATTTCCAATCTGTACACCACCATAGAAGTGTTGCAGGAATTTGGCATGACCATCAACTCGTCCAAATGCACTGCGCTGGTTGCCATGACGGGAACCTCACATCGCAAATTGCGCCAGTCAATCACTGCATTTCGCGATGGAAAAGAATGGTTGAAGCTTGCCACTGCCGACAAACCCACCATTTGGATTCCAGTGGACAGGAAAGTCAAGTACCTGGGCACCGTGCTGTCATATCATGACTTTGAAAACCAGACCATCATGCACCGCATTCAGCTGTCCAAAATTGCTTTCCAACGCCTTAGCCGTTGGCTTAAAGGCAGAAGAGGCTTGTCCCAAGACCAGAGAATTCAGCTGTGGAACACATGCGTTTATCCAGTTTTGACATACAGCGTTTGCACTGTGGGAATCACTCCACTAGGCACACAGAAACTACAACAGACCATGTACAGCATGCTCAGACAGATCATTGGGAATCATGCCTATATCACTGGACAGAGCCATCAGACTGCTCTCACACGCCAAGGGATTGACTTGCCACTCACTCGGCTTGGACAGACTGCCGAACGTCAGTTGCTGTCTGCAACTCAACGCTTGTGGCATGTTGATTTACAGGACATAGTGCATACACTGGACTGGAGTCACTTACATGATTTGATTGCACACCTGCGTGATCTGACTCTGCCTGTGAACTGCAACCTGAGCCTGTTTTCACATGCCGACTGTGTGGATTTTGCACGCCCAATGTTGCAGCCTTTCGACACCATTGCACACATTCTCATGGCCACCGCATGAACAGAGTTCATTTTACCCCACATGTTGAACACATGGTAAATGGCCTCCCACAATGTAAGCATTGTCACAAGACCTTTTCCACTTGGAGAGCGTTCACAACACACATCCAACGCGGGTGCCAGGTCTTGCAAGCGGGACCACCTGAGTGCTGGCAGAACGAAGTTGCCCCGCTCCAAGTTGACCCGCCACGGGCTCCTGAGATGTTTGCACCCAAGATGGAAGGCCCTGTGCGGGGCCAAACAATGCTTTCAGATGATGATCTTTGCAACCTTCGCAGTCAAGAATGGGGTAACAGAATCCTGACCATTGTGGCCAACAAGGCATGGCACCACATGAAACGGGAACAGCAAGCTTGTGAGTACTTGGCCAACAGGTGCTGTTTGTGCGATCAATTCCTGGGTCGTATGCAAGACCTGAACCAGCACATCAAGGTCATGCACCCACAGTTCTGGCCCCACACTTCTGCCAAGGGAAAGCAGCTGACCAATCAATATGGAGAGGACACACCATGTCCTTTTTGCCATGCATTGCTTCGCAACACGCATCAATGCACGGTCTGGACTCAGTTAGCACTCTTGTTAGTGCATGGAGGAGGCCAGGTGACAGACACTGAAGAGGCGGCCAAAACCATCCTGACATGTGACATTTGTGGGACACTGCATGCGTCCCCAGAAGCGCTTCATGCTCACCTTGCCCAGGATCACCGACTGGCCAGCACTAGTTTCAACCCGGCCAGGGATTGTCTAGATGGCCAAGCGGCATGCAACCATTGTGGGGCTGTCTTCGAGCACATTGAATCCCTGCGGTCACACATAAACCAGGGCAGATGTGGTCACTTCGACCCAGACCTCCCCACCGAGGTCTTGGAGGTGAAACAGTCTTGGGAGTTAGCAACATGTGCTGGCAAACTTGCAGATACATTGCGCGACAGCCATGTACGATTACAGCTGACCTTGCAATGCCAAAACTGCAATTGCCGGTATGCAAGACCGGCTGACTTGTCAGGCCATTTACTGGCTGCTCACCCGCTGTTGTGGTCGGCATCCCAGGGATTAACGGCAATCCTTGTCTCCCTGCTGTATGAGCAGGTTGGTTGCTGCTGCAACCCCTGCACGATCCAACATCGAGCAAATCACATATGCAATCCCCTACGTCAGCTTGCCATGCAACACCTACGACTGGACAATGCTCTGTTTTATCCACATGACCCTACTGAAACTGAACTTGCCCAGCTTGTGTCGGCAAAGTTGAATCGAGACAGTCGATTTCGATTGGAACGCCTGCTGACGAACAGATTGTTGCACCAACTTTGGCTTGATGACCATGTTCTTGCAATCACGAGGTCCACATGTCTACTGTGCGCGGCTGAACTTCATGTGGCAGAGCTGGCCCTACACATGTACGAGGCCCATCATTGCGGCATTCCTTTGGTGAAATTTTTGGTGCAACAGTTGCTGCCCAAGTTTTTGACCCATTGTGACACAGATGTACATTGCTATGCCTGCCACCAAGTGATCAATTTGCCACGAGATGATGCCAATGCACCTTCCATACCAGATGAACACCGTGCTGCTATGGTCCAAGCCCACTACAAAGCACAGTGCCCTTGCCTTATTCAGGCTGCTGTCCTCTTGAGCCGAGCTGCCCATGGCCGACATGGCAATGCCGGAAGGAGACGAGGCCACGACCCAGATCTGGCAGGCATTCCAGGCGATGGGACCCATGCTGGATCGGACCCTGCAACTGTCCCAGAATGCCCCACCCAAGCGCCAAAGAAAAGGCGACTCCAACCGAGACGACCACCAAAAACCAGGGGCACTCGACAAGATCCAGCTGGCACAGGCGGTGACGCTCATGGCCAAATTGGCACTGCAGATGGACAGGGACCTTCAGGCAATGAAGAGAGAGGACACCTTCATTCTCTTTTTCGCCAACAAAGGGAAAGAAAGCAGCTTGCAGACGCTGCTGCAGGCGACCGAGCAATGGGCCAAACAGTTCCAGGAGAATCAGACAGTGCACCCGAAGGGGAAGATCATGCCACTTCGACAGCATCTGGCCCAGGTCCTCTTCAACACGCTCCTCAGCAGGATTCAGCAACTGGGCTCTGCGAAGGAGGGATCAGAGATCCTGCTGGCCGCCCAGCACAACCAGGTCTTGTTGCAGGATCGCACCTGCCCCTATCTGGAGTGGGATCATGGACAAACGGCCTCTCACCCTGACCAGACTCCAACAGATCTGTCAGGACATGCTGGAAACCCTGACGGAGGTGCAGACTGTGGTGAAATTTCATGCACTGCCAGCCGGACAGAAACAAGAGGTCTCACCATGGAAGCTGCAAGTGAGCCTGCGCCTGGACAACCCATGGCAACTGCTGACGGAGCTGAGCCACTCAGCCATTTGGCTGCTCATGGGCACATCACTCCGTCCCCACAGCCTGCAGCAAAGCCCTCTTGCAGTGAACCTCCAGAAGACCTTGCAGCTCCCGACATCCCGCAAGGGGAATGGCAAAGGCAAGAAACCAGGCACAGTGACACCCAAGAAGGAGTGATGCCTGCTGAGCTGCCTACCAGCCCGGCACCAGATTCTCTGTTGCTGAAACTTGCGCACATGACCATGGAAAACCCTGGAAACATATGTTTTGCCAACGCCACAACCAGTGCTTTGTTGTGGACCACCTTGTCCAACACGAAGTGGAGCCTGAAAGCTTGGGGAAAACAGTGCCAGATGTTGCATGATTTCATTTGCACCAATCCTGATACTTGCAAAAATCTTTGTATGGAAGAATGGTTTCAGCAGATCTTGCACTGTTGGGGTTTGATCGATCCTGCGACCTGTCCACAGCGCATTGCACAACAGGACTCTACAGAGTTTGTTACAACATGGTTAGAGCAGATGGACTCTGACGCTTTTGACATGCGCTGGGAAAAGAGGATCCTTGAGAACACACACATCAGGATTTTTGATCACGGTTGCAAGAGCACGCCCATTTGCTTGAAATTTCCACAGTTTCTTGCAGATTTCAGATGCAGTGATTTGACCCAATTGTTTGACGCCTGGCGCCAGGCAGATGGAATGTGCACAGCACTTTGCCAGGCACCCACATGCCTTTGCATCCATGTTGACAGATATGCGCAGGATGACCAGCAGCAAATTTACAAAAGTGAATGCATGCTCCAGACAGACCAGGTATGCCTAGTTCCAGTTTTCAAAGATGACACCCTGACTTGCGAGATGATCGAATACCAAGTGGTGGCGCTCACGGAACACTTGGGACTTGACAATGCAGGCCATTTCCGTAGTGCACTGCGCCTTGCCCCAGCCATTGCCAACCAAGTGACTCCTGCAGAATGGCTCCTCACTGATGATTGGGTTGCTCCAAAGCCCATGTGGGATGTACCAAATTGGATGAAACGCACTGCTACAGTGTATTGGCTGACGCGGTCGGATGAAGTGAAGCTTTGGAAATATCGGAACATGGACACAAAGACAGATGCAGAAGCAGTGAATGCAGCGATTCTTGCAATGCTGCCAATGCCCAAGTGAGATTTCAAACGGCTTTTCAAGCCACCATTTTGTATTTTCTCCACCAAGCACCATCATCCAACAGATGGTACCAAGATGCTTACTTTTCTCCAGATGAGAGCGGCACCTGAGAGATCGTAGGGGGCCAGAACGTTTCCGAAATGGAACCGTTGCAAATCTTGCAACGCTGGTCGGCACAGACCTTGAGAGCTTTGGAAAAGGTGTGCAGCCAAAAAAACACACACACACAAGCCCCTTTGCAGTCACGAGCACTGCACTCAAGTGGATCAACAGCAGACTCCCGTGCCCATTGATCTGACTGCCCGGCGCGACCTGCCATACGACGGCGGCGCCCCATCCTTGCTGCGCAACGACGACTAGAATATTTTTTCACATTTTGCTCATCCTGGGATACAGTGGAGAACCATCATTTACAGAACTCCAACCCGCTGACACATTTCATCTACATCGAGTTCAGGTTGTCAAGGACTTGCCTTTGATTTTGCAATTTGATAATTTCCAGACTGACAACACCGTTCACCATCTGGCCTTCTGCGGTGGGGCTCCCTTCTGGGTTGGACAACAGGCAATCAACAGAGACTATTTCCTTTTTCCCATTCTTGCATTGGACACCGGCCAAACCATAGCCTTCTGCGGTGGGGCAATTGCGACAATTTTCAATACATTTGACACTCAACTCCTCAGTGATCACACCGGTTGTTTTCTGACCTTCTGCGGTGGGGCTTACAATCAAAACTATTTGCAAAGTTCAGCATTTTGGTCTCAGGGTGACACCGTACATTCCTTTGCCTTCTGCGGTGGGGCTTGCACCTCAGGCTCATTTGATCTTGCTCCAGGATCACCACCTTTGGTATATCGATTGAGGAAGCACACCGAGCATTTAGCTGCCTTCTGCGGTGGGGCCCAATACACGGTGCACGACCATTTGGCTAATCAAATTTTTCTGGACGAGCTACCACCCTGCTTTGGAGACACCGAACCATATCTGACCTTCTGCGGTGGGGTTCACAATTACAATCATTTGCAAAGCACAACATTTTGGCCTCAGGGAGACACCGTATTTTCTTTTGCCTTCTGCGGTGGGGCTTACATTTCAGGTTCATTTGATTTTGCTGCAGGCCCACATCTCTTGACATCCAAATTGAGGAAACACACCGAGAATTTAGCTGCCTTCTGCGGTGGGGCCCAACTTACAGTGTGCAATCATTTTGCAGATCAAGTTTTCCTGGACGAGCTCCCACCCTGTTTCGGATACACCGGACCACATCTGACCTTCTGCGGTGGGGTTTTCTGGGTACAGATTTTGCAGGCCTTTCAGACCATTTTTGATTTGCATAATACAGATAACACCGATTTGACACTGACCTTCTGCGGTGGGGTTCCCTGGCCGAGACATCTCAATCATTTGTGTGCAGCAGGATGCACCGATTTTTCTGCCTTCTGCGGTGGGGTTTTCATTTCTTGCTGCAACAATTGCGGGCAATTTCAATTTGGTGCAGATATTTTCAGTGCAACAGCAGGCAACAATCTGATCTTGTGGACAAGTAACACCGATTTGTTCCTGGCCTTCTGCGGTGGGGCTCCATTACAGGTAGTACAACATAGCACAGGCCATTGTGGTTGCTACGCAGACTGGACAGCGTCAGATCACCTTGGTGTTGTCCACGCTGATTCTGCCTTTGTACCCTCTTCTTTCAGGATTGAGTGGCGATTTCACTATCCTGCCATTGTTGCCAAAGCGTCAATCAGTGCTGGATTGGATTTGGATACTGCTATTGTGTTTGATTTGTGGTGCATTTTACAATTTTCAACTCCTGCTGGCCAACGCTGCCCTTGAGTTTGAGCGCGTATTTTGGCATTTTTTCTGGACATTCATTCTGCCATTTTGGGATTTTGGAAACATTTTTGATTGCCTTTGGAAAGTCGTCATTGCGGAAAAAAGGAACATTTCCACCTGTGTGCCTGAATTGTTTCAACAACGAGACTGCCAACCCGGTCCCAAGTCCGGGCGTTCTTGGTGCTCAAACCTGCCTTTTCACCTTAGGTTCAGCCTGACCTTACTCTGCATGGTTTTGATCACTGGGAACGGGGGTGAGGGTAGTGGATCAGTCATGGGATCCACTGAAACGCCAGACACCTCCTTTTTGCAGAATATTCAACATATGTTTGGCGTGAAGCAACATGACATTGGACCACCAGCATGCTCTGCACCCAAGAGCACCAACCTTACCGATGTCAAGAAAAGAAGTTTGAAAAGAGCGTACAAGAGAGCATGCCTGCAAGGCATTGCATGGTATCGCGGCCGACTGTACAGACCTGATGACTTCCATTTTATGCCTTCCTTCTCTGACTCTCATGTAACACCAGAGCCTCCCCCAGATTTGCCACCGAAAGCCTTGAACCAGTGCCATCAAATTCATGGCTCCAAATCCCGTCTCACATGTTTGCAGTGGAATGTTGGTGGATTATCCACACATCGATTGGACGAGATCAAGATTTGGCTTTCTCAGCACCAAGTTCACATAGTGACGCTGCTAGAGACCAGGTGGCAGTATACGGGAGAGTGGCTTGATTCACAATGGATACATGTGCATTCAGGTAGTTTGGAAGACCGTGGAATGGGTATTCTCACTCTAATTTCACGCAAGCTTTGCCAACCCCATGCCTTGCGTTGGACTGAAGCCATTGTAGGACGCCTCCTTCATCTGAGAGTGCCATTGCAGAACAGATCCATAGATATAGTCTGCGGATATCAACATGTGGACAAAAGAGGACCCCAATGTATGCAACGTCGTGAGCACTGGTGGGGCTGTTTGGATCGCACACTCCAGGGTCTCCCTCATCGTAATATGCTCATGTTGATGGCTGACTTCAACACCAATGTGCCGCCTTGCCCCTCTCACTCTGGCAGTGACCAGTATTGGTGGCGGGGTTTGCTGGTTCGAGGTTCTCAACATCAAGATGCTGGTCGTCTGATTTCCATTTTGAGATTTCATGGCTTGGTGGTTTTGAACTCGTGGAACTCCAGAGATGGGCCGACGTATGTGCATGGGCAACACTCAAGCAGAATAGACTTTGGCTGTGCTCGTAAATCCCAGGTTGATGGCATTGCCAAACAGCCGCGATACCTGTGGCAGGCACCATTCATGGGAACCACCCAGCAAGGACATGTTCCCATTGTCCATCAGATCGCGCTGTTCTGGGCCCCCACGCGCCCATTAAAACAGGGAAATATCAGTAAGCAACAGAGTCTTCAAGCACATGCAGCATACCAATCCAATACGTCTCAATGGGACACATATGTCGAGCACTCTTCGGCCGTCATGACGCAAGCCTTGCATCAGGTATGGACCTCAGATCTGCCCCAGGACACTAGCTTGGACACATTTCATGCTGCCGTGAATGCCTGTTTCCATGAGCATTTTCCCCCCATGAGTGCTCCCCAGAGACATGAACCCTGGAGACATTCCACTACACAAGTTCTCACCAAATGGCAACATCGTGCTAAACTCCAACAAATCAGGTCTTGCACAGGTTCTGGAGTTTTCAGAGCATGGCATCACCTTGCCCGCTATGCCAGCCTCAGAAGGCAACATCGCAGGTTTGCTGCTCAGATCAGGCGTTCTCATTTTTGTGATATAGTTCAACAGGCCCAAGCTGCTGCTAGTCGCCATGACATGCACCGTATGTTTAGCCTGATCAATCGCTACTCACCCAAGTCAGTTCGCCGCAGGATCCAAATCAGGAATCAAGCTGGTGCCATTGCCAGCCCCCAAGAAGAGCTGCTAATCCTTAAGGATTTTGTTGCTGATATTTGGGGAGGACCCAGCAATATCCCGGTTGATTTCACTCAGGCGCCTGGAGTTCCGTTTACGGCCTCCGACCTTGCAGCTGCTCTGAGAGGCATTCCATTGCACCGTGCGGTAGGCATGCCATTTGCTCCTGGCATTGCCTGGCGTCCTCAGAGCCATATCATTGCCCCCATCTTGTACCACATTTTGTGTAAATGGTGGAGTGTTACCCCTCCATACATACCGCAGTGCTGGCGTGATGGATGGATGATCATGCTGGGGAAACCGCACAAGCCTGCCACTTCGCCGTATAATTTGCGGCCGATTGCGCTGCAAGATCCGGTAGGTAAGGCCCTTGTGGGTCTGCTAATTCATGCCGCCAATGTAGATGCCCAACCCCTGCTGCTGCCCTGGCCCATTTGGGCCTATCTCCCCAAGAGATCAACGCTGGATGCAGTTTGCAGGGTTGCATTTCATTGTAGTCAGGTCCAAAAATTAGTAGCCTCCCAAAAACCTACCCCACATGCCAGGGCAGCTGCACTTCCCATGTACCGTTTTTGCGGTGGAGTGACTATCATGTTGGACCTAGAACGGGCTTTTGATGGGGTCTCACGTGCCAAATTGTTTAGCCAGCTACATCACCTGAATATCCGACCCTCGGTCATTCAGCTACTGACACATTGGCATATCGACACCCAATACCACTTCCAGCATGGCCATGACATGATTGCACTTCCAACAGGCGCCGGCCTGAGGCAAGGATGTAAGGCCGCTCCAGGCCTATGGAACTTTTTGATAGTCCTGTATTTGCATCGAGTGTCTGATCATCTCCCCATTGCATGGTTGCGACATCATCTCAACATTTACGCCGACGATTACCAGGTTGGTGGATTGTTTTACTCCTATGCTGATTTGGAGTTTCTGTTACAAGCTTTTGGCATTTTACTGGACACCTTGCGTGAGTTTTCCCTCAAACTGAATGCTAAGAAGTCTGCTGCACTCTTAGCAGTAGCGGGCACCTCTCATCGACACCAGAGAGCACGCTTTGTGACTGCCAAAAGTGACTGTGAACAGCTGCGCATTCCCCTCCCCACTGGTGAAGAGATCTTGATTCCAATTCAAACCCAAGTCAAATATCTTGGAACTGTCATGACATACAAGGATTGTCAGGCTGCCACCTTGAAGCACCGCATGAGTCTTGCACGTATAGCACAACGCAGACTTGGAAGATGGCTCAGGGGAAAGCATGTCTTCAAAATCAGCTCCAGATTTCAGCTTTGGAAATCCACAGTCATGCCAGTTTTAACATATGAACTTTTTTCCACAGGCATTTCCACCCATGGTATCATGTGTTTGCAAAAAGAAATGTACAAAATGCTGCGCCAAGTGACGTGTGACCATGCCTTTCGTACAGGTCGAACTAATCATTCTGCCTTAGCACAGCACGGTATTCCCACGCCACTGCAGCAATTGCGAGCTGCTGCCAAGCAACTTTTGCAGTCCACCACTCAACGCATGACCACACTGCAGGATGATGATATCGCCTTGCAACTACCCTGGGGACATTTGTCTGAGCTGGTTGCCAAGCTGGAACAAACTCAGGAACTGAGTCCACCGCCTGTTGAGCCTACTGAGTTGCGTGCCGGGCCTAATGATGGTGAGATATATCAATGTTACCTTTGTGACTTTCTTGCCACTGACGTTGCCTCATTCCGACGACACTGCACGATGATCCATGGACAAAGGGTTCCCAAAAGACATTTTGCCACGGCATCACATTTTACCACCAATGGGTTGCCTGAATGTACTTTTTGTGGAAAATCCTTTTCAACATGGCGCAGTTTTCAAACACACATTGAGCGGGGCTGTCAGGTCTTGTTCTCCGGACCCTGTGCAGTGGAGCCCTACACAGCCCTCGGAGCCAAAGCTTACATGACTGGAACGGCCTTGGCTGCCGGTGAACTAGCTGTCCGAAGCCCAAACATGTTGCCTGAATCAGAACTTGGAAATTTGAGACGCGCCCCTTTTGGACCTGCACTCTGCCAGATCCTGGAGACCAGGGATTGGAACAGACTGGAAACCTTGCCAGAAGCATGTCATTACATGGCCAAAAGATGTATTCTTTGTGGACTGCACTACAACCGTGTGCAAGAACTGAATGCCCACTATCGTACCATGCATGGCCAATATTGGGAAGGTGTTCCTCAACGTGCAGTGTACATGTCCAACACGTGGGCCACAGAAAGGCCCTGTCCTTTTTGTGGGGCGCTGTTCAAGTCTCATCTTTGCCCGGTATGGGTTCAGGTCACGGTCCTCCTCCTTTTTGGAGTTGCTGCGCCCCCTGATGAATCGCAGCCTGAGGCCACTAACCCTGGATTGCGTTGTGAAGTTTGCCTTGCAAGCTTTGAGACCTTAGCCAGTCTTACTGAGCACCTACAAAGTGAGCATGCACTCCAGGGCATGGCGTTCAATGTGGCCAGGGACAGTGTGGCAGGCAGCCCAGCGTGTGCCCATTGCGGCATTTTATACGACAACTTGTCCAGTCTTCGTTCACACATAAACCAGGGCAGATGTTTGCAATTCCGGCCGGACGCAACAGCCGAGTCCTTGCCAACCCGACCAGACTGGGTGCAGGCCTGTGTTGAGGGCCAAATGAAGATTGTGTTAGGCAATGCTCAGTCTCGTATGGCCTTGACGCTGCATTGCCAACTCTGTGGGGTGCATTATGCACGTGCCACCGACCTTTCATGCCATCTCCAGGGAAGCCACGCCAGACTTTGGCGCTGTTCTCAACAACTGACACTGCTTTTGGTTCGGCTGTTTTATGCCTCTGGCCAATGTGTATGCAACCCATCTCAACATCAGAATCGGCTTGATCACACATGTTTGCCACTCAGGCAGCTTGCAATGATTTTTCACAAGATGGACAACAAGTTATTTGCTCCCTTTCAGGCCAGTGAATATGCCTTGAACCTGATTTTGTCCACTGCCTTGGACCGCCACACCAGATTGATGTTTGAACAGATCGCCACTCAGCATCAGTATGAGCGCCTCTGGCAGGACCAGCAATGCTTGACCACCATGCGCACCCAATGTTTGCTTTGCGGATGTGAATGTGCACCCAGCGCAATGCCACAGCACTTGCGGGAGGTGCATCCATGCAATCAACTTGCCATGACTTTCTACATGACACTGCTGACATCATTGATGATGGAGCAACAGCTGCTTGATCATCAGTGCTATGCATGCCTGCAGATTTTCAATTTGCCGGCTGATTCAGATGCCGCACCAGATCCAGCACGCAAGCATTTGGCTCAGTCTCACTTGCTGCACAACTGCCCCAATTTGCTGCAAGTGGCATTGTTTTTAACGGGCTTGCTCCATGACGGACGACTCCTTGATGACCAATACGGACTTACTGGCCCAGCAGCAAGTCCTGGAAACCTTCAAGGGACTGGCACCGCTGCTTGGCACAGCGCAATTGCCCCCAAACCCAAGAGAGCCAAAACGCAGCAAACGCCATCACGACAAAGCCGGCAATGCAGCCCAGCCGACAATGCAGGTGGCCCAGACACCTCAGCTACAGCAGCTGAACGCCCTGGTTCAGCAACTGGCGCTCCTGGTTCTTCGTCACGATCGAGAACTCAACCAGAGCCGTCGAGCAGACAGCTTCGTTCTTTTTTTCAACCGAGACCCAAAGAGCGGCTTGCAGGGGCTGATTCAGGCAACGCAGACCTGGCAGGAGCAGCGCAAGTCATCAACAATACCGATGATGACGCTGAGACAACACCTGACCCAGTGCTTGTTCCAAGATCTCTTGGTGAAGGTGATGAAGATCGCAGAAGCCAAACCAGAGGACCCACTCCACATTGCTTCAGTGCAGAGTCAACTGATCGACGGAGAAGGGAATTGGCCGTTCCTGGAATGGGATCCCAAAGCCAAACAATTGGTGGTCAGCTCCAAGACTCCAATCAGCATGACGCTGATGACCAGACATGCACAACAGCTTGTGGAGATGTTCAAGAACTCGGACCTGGTGCTCTGCTTTCGGTCCTTGCAGACCAGTCAGGATGCTCCGATCTGCCCATGGAGGCTGCAGCTTTGTCCCAGAGCGGATCAGGAGCGGGAGCTTCTGAACAGGCTCTCCCGCAGCAGCGTGTGGACCCTCCTGGGGACAATGCTCAAACCACATGCTCTGAATCAATGCGGCCTGGCGGACACGATCCAACACACCATGGGACATCAGCCGAAGCATGGGAAGGGCAAAGGCAGACTTCGACCCCCAGCCAGTCCACAGACGTAGACATGCGACCTCCATTGGCTATGCTGCTACATGTTCTGAGCCATTTACGTTTTCACAATGACAGCAACTGGTGCTTTGCCAATAGCACCATTTTCAGCCTGCTTTGGTGTATGATGTCGATGCAATGTGAAGCAAGCTCATTGGGGTCAAATTTTGCAGAAGTGATTCAATGTTTGCCTTGTCACAATTTGCAATCAGTTGCGTTGAAAGATCTTGGATGGTTCAATCAGCTTCTGCAGAATTGGGGTGCCTTTCATGGTAATCACCGGGGTAGACAGCAGGATGCTTCGGAATTTGCGACTGCTGTGTTGTCGTGGCTGTGTGCACCAGCGATCAACATGACCTGGGAGCGCCGAGTGGAAGAAATGGGATGTATTCATGCACATGACCGTGGTGATGCCTTCATGCCCATTACACTTTCATTTCCTGCCACTCATGTGCACCTGCCTGACACACTTTACACGTTGACACATCTCATGCGCTTGTGGATGCAAGTTGATGGAATGATTGCTGCCTTGATGCAGGCGCCTCAATGCATATGCCTTCACTTGGATCGCTTCTATGATGCCGAGGACACCATTTTGAAGAGCCAGTGCCTTATTGATATGGAAGCTGGGTGTGATGTTCCGGTATTCACTGATCACTCCCAAAGAAGGGAATTTGTCAGCTATGTATTGCTTTCTGCCACTGCACACCTTGGCAATGTGAAGGGAGGTCATTATCAGGCAGTGCTGAAAACCAGACCGGCAGTCCAGCAGAATGGACAGCCAATGCATTGGTTGCTGACAAACGACTCCACAGCAGCCCAACCGATATGGCTTGTTCCAGACTGGTTTCGGCGCAATTCCACTGTTTTCTGGTTGGCCAGGGCAGACTGCGTCCAGTTGCATGTGTATCGCCCATTGCCGCAGACAGACATTGCAGCACCTGATGAACCGGATCTGACCATTGCCGCAGATGCAGATACAAGCACAAATGTACCAGAACGAGACATTGGGATGCCAAGCACCACTGTTGACACTGATACCACGGAATCAACAGAGAAGCCAAGCACAGCGATTGCACCAGAGACGGACGCGACGACAGCGGCTATCATGGCCCTGCTCCAGGCTACCACCATGGCTGAGCGCCAGAGGTGATGAAGGACTCCAGAACAATTTTCCAACTCTTTTCACTTCTCCTGGTTTCATTGGTAAGGCCGAAAGTTTCCTGAACGGAACCGTTGCCAAATGGACAACGTGGTCTTGCACAGACCTATGCAGTTGCAAAATAGGCGTGTGTGGAAAACACACACACACACACACACGCCCACACACACGCCCACACACACGCCCACACACACGCCCACACACACGCCCACACACGCGCCCGCGCACACGCGCCCGCGCGCACACGCGCACACGCGCACACGCGCACACGCGCACACGCGGCGCGCACGCGCGCACGCGCGCACAGCGCGCACGCGCGCACACGCGCACGCGCGCCAGCGCGCACACGCGCACGCGCGCACGCGCGCAACGCGACACGCGGCACGCGCGCACCGCGCGCACGCGCACGCGCACGCGCACACGCGCACACGCGCACACGCGCACACGCGCGCACGCGCACACGCGCACACGCGCACACGCGCACACGCGCACACGCGCGCACACGCGCACACGCGCACACGCGCACACGCGCACACGCGCACACGCGCACACGCGCACACGCGCACACACGCACACACGCACACACGCACGCACGCCCTTTGCACCCAAGGAGGTGCCCCAAGGAACGAGGAGTTCCAGGTTTTCGGCAGCCATTTAGCCCCTCGCCTGTGACATCCTCCGGTGACTCTTGCCATTTTCCTGCCTGCTGCTCTGTACTGCTGGACAAAGTGTGCCCTTTACAACAGCATTGACGATTTTGGATACAAGATTATGATCTTTGTCTTCTTGGGGCTCTTGATAATTTACCATTACAGTGGGTGTAACCCGGTCCCAAATCCGGGCACAGCTGATCCTTGCTTGCTGGACTATTTGATGCGACAAACAGATTTGCGGCAATTTTTGGGATCCCATCCATACAGCTGTGAGGGTGAGGGTTGTCGTGGGACCACTACCACGACTGAAGCAGACACATGGCAGTCCATTTTTCATAATGCAACTGCGAATAGTGGAAACCCGCCACCAGTGAGTGGTCACACTCAGTGCTTCCCATCGCCAGCTACCAATGTGCATAAACGCAGTTTCAAAAGGGCATGCCGTAGGGCCATTCGTTTTGGGACAGCTGACTATCATGGACAGCGACTGCATTTGAGAGACTTTCCGGAAACCCTGATTAGTAAGTTAAGATCCAATGAGCCGAGCGTCCAGCCACACAGATCCATACCAGTACGTACCAATTCCAAGAGACTGACCTGTCTCTCATGGAACTCTGGTGGTATGTCTCAAGCTTCATTCCACGAGCTGAAGCACTGGCTACGACTTCATCCAGTGGACATAGTGATGGTTGCGGAGACGCGTTGGGGCTTCGAATCTTTCTGGACAGATCAGGACTGGACCTATCTGCACTCTGCCACAGGAGTGAAACGCAGTGGCGGCCTTTTGGTGATGCTCTCTCGACGCTTTGCCCATTCTTCTCAGATTGGTTACGATTGTGTGGTACCTGGCAGGATACTGCACGTACGGGTTCATGGACATCAGACGGCCCTTGATCTTATTGCCATGTATCAGTACACGGACTATCGCACTGATAGCTCCTATCGACAACGAGAGTCAGTCTGGACGGCATTTGATCAATGTCTTAGCAATATACCAGTACGGCACAATCTTCTGTGTGCAGGGGATTTCAACTGCGATCTCCAGGCCCACCCGCCGTGGGTTGGAACTACGAAATTTTTCTGGAAGACACAGAGTGTCACTGGATCCACCCACAAGGATCAACAGAGGTTCCAAGACCTGCTCCGTGCTCATGGCCTGACAGCTGTGAATACATGGGGACGCTCAGGAGCCACTTTTGTGCATGGTACTTTTGGTAATAGAATTGATCATGTCCTCACCCGTATTGTTACCTGTGATGGGGCGGCAAAACACATTCAGTACTTGGACGATGCGGATTTTGTCCCTTGCAATCAGTCCCATCACATCCCCATGATCAGTACGATTCGCAAACATCATAGGATGTATCATCATGCCAATCGACCAACTGGTTGCACATATGCACAGAGAAATCAATGCCGCATTGCCAGTTTGGAGGAGAAGGAGGCGTGGCATCGCCTACGACAACAGGTTATTGCGACAGTGACATCCGCACACACAGAGGCGTCCCCTGAAGAATTCATTGTTGGGCTCCACAACCAACTTTCCCCTGTTTTTCACTCCCTTTTTCCCAATCATCCCATTCGTTTTCAACAGCCAGATTATTCGGAGTTTCACTTGACAACACGGGACAAATGGTTTCATCGCAGAGCACTTAAGGCTATTGTTTTTCCTTTTGGACGTAATTTTTTACGTAATGTCATGCAGGCCTGGCATCACTGCAGTCGGTATGGGTATCTCCAACGTCGTCAACAGAAGCAGGCCAGACAGGCACGTCTACTTAGGTTCCAATCCTTGTGCCAAGAAGTTGACCGTGCGGCCAGGTTTCATGATTCCCATGCCATGTTTCACATCATCAACAAATTCACTCCGAAGCGACCACAAGCCAGAGCCAGACTTAAAGGTCCAGATGGACGCATAGCTGACCAGTACCTTGCCCATTCCATGACAGTTGCTTTTGTCCAGCAGTTCTGGGCAGGCCCATCCCAACTGCCGACATATTCTGATCGTGCACCGGGGGTACCTTTTTCCTTTGATGCGCTGTTCAAGGCACTCACACGGCTGCATGCCAACAAGTCGGTTGCTCCACCGTTCTTACCGGCAATCATTTGGAAAAGTGCTCCATATGACGTGGCCACTGTCTTGTATCAAAGTCTTCAAAGTTGGTGGAGCCAAAGTCCCCCAATGATACCCCAATCCTGGAAAGACTCTTGGTTGTACTTCATCCCTAAACCGGGTAAGCCCAACACACACCCATCTCAGATGAGGCCAATATCCCTGATGGAGCCCATGGGCAAACTGGTGTTAGGTTTGATTGCATCCCTGGTTCAACAATCCCTAGTGCCCATTCTCACGTGTTTTCCACATTTTGGGTTCATGCCTAAGCGTGGTGCCATCGATGCAATTCAGCGTGTAGCTGGCCACAGCAGAGCCATCCGAGCTCTGGTAGGAACCCAGCGTCGGTCAGTCACCCAGCAGATGACACAGGTGCCAAAGCTTATCATGTGTGGAGGACTTTCCCTCTTTCTTGACATGTCCAGGGCCTTCGATTGTGCTAATCGTCGTCTTTTAATGGATCATCTCTTGGAACTAGGAACCCCCCCTGATCTGGTTCAGTTGGTTGCAAGTTGGCATGAAAATACAAGATACAACATCTCTTTTCAACATGGCACTTCTTCAGTAACAGTTGGCAAGGGCTTGCGACAAGGATGCAAAATTGCTCCTCAATTGTGGGTGGTGTATATGGACCGGTTTCTACGGCTGTTGGCTTCGCACACTGGACAACAGTGGATTCACGATTGCATAACAATTTACGCGGACGATGTGCATGTGGGTTGCAGTTTTACTTCACCACAGGAATTCATCACTCACCTGCATAATCTTGGACTTGTTTTGGATATTTTGGAACAACTTGAACTCCAGTTATCCTATCAAAAGTCTTTTGTGCTGTTGAAATATGCTGGTACCAACCCACGTCCAACTTTGAAAGGACGCATCCGTCGGCAAGGCACTGACCACTGCTTGCTGGTGCCCAGACGTAATGGATCACCATCGGCATTGCCTCTGAGAACCAAAGGAAGCTACCTTGGTGCAGTCATTAGCTATTCAGCACAGGAAATCCAGTCATGGCATCATCGCAGGCGCACTGCCTGGATTGCATTCAATCGACTCCGAAGTTGGCTCAGCCATAGGCAAATCAGCGTTCGACACCGCCTGTCCCTCTGGAGACAATGTGTGTTCACGGTGCTTACATATGCAATATTGGCCACACAAGTCACGATTCCAATTTTGCATGATTTCCAGGCCACCATATATCGCATGATCAGGATCATAGTGGGTGACCATTCTTATTGCACACATCACACGCACCAACAGGTTTTTCAAACATTTGGCCTTGATCATCCGCTTGACATGCTCTTGGCCCTGGCCTCATCACAGCAGCAGCGTCTCAGCAGGCGTGCTCTTGATCTTTTGCCCACCGACTTTTTGCATAGAGTGGATTGGACATCCATCACTGGAACCTTGCAACTCATTGCTTGCATCCGTGCATCCGTGACGGAGGTGCCCATTGATCTGGACGCCGCTGCACCTGTGCTGACCCAGGCCAGACATCTTTGCCCGCATTGTGATTTTGCCACAACATCACTGCCAAACATGAGACGCCATTTGACAACGACTCATGGCCTCCGACAGTATCGTACATCTCATGTTCCACCTGCTTCCATGTCCCATCATGGTGCACCACAATGTAAGAATTGTTTTCAGGTTTTTACTACATGGAATAGCTTTTATATTCATGTTCAACGTAATTGCTGCCAGGACATGGACCCAACAGTGACAATGCCGACTGCTGACACTGTGCACCCGGCTGCACCGGTCGTGACACCCACGGCAGCATTTGCCGCTGCCTCCCTGAGTTTTCACGTCATGACCCAAGTGTTCTGGCCAGAATTGCAGACACTGTTGCTTCATGCTGACTGGATCAATTTTCCACGCAATGCTGCCATGTTGGAATACTTGTCTCACCATTGTGTCATTTGTGGCCTGTGGTGCAACCGATTCCAAGAATTGCATGGACATTTTCGACAGTGCCATCCGGACCATGTGCAAGGGTGTGTGGCTAAGGGAGCCCAAATCTCTGTACTCATGCAATGCACCTCACCGTGTACATTGTGCCAAAGGCCTTATAGCCGTGTCCACAGCTGTCCGGTCACGCGGCAACTTGGCCTGCTGCAGATTCAGACCCGTCCTGATGGTGATCGGGTGACAGAGGCCTGTGCCTGCGACATCTGTGCCTTACCCTTCCAGGACCTAGGCCAACTGTATGGCCATTTGACCAACACTCATGGCCTTACTGTCAATGATTGGTGCCCTTCGAGGGACTCCCATCAGGGGGGTGACGGATGCCGTCACTGCGGCACAATTTTTGATAGCCGCTCAGGCTTGAGGCGTCACATCACGGAAGGTAGATGTGGGTCATTCAACCCGGCTGCGACGCCGCATCCGATTGACACCACTGATGCTTGGGGTGCTTGGCTGCAGACTGGCAATTTTGATCCTCCGGCCCTCACAGCCCAGATGCGCCTGCAGTTGACTACAATTTGTCAATTCTGTGGCCTGACCTACTCCCGCACTGGAGATTTAGTTGCGCATCTACTGCAATCTCATGGAGATTTGTGGAATGGTTCCCAACCCTGGCTTCGGTTTTTGCTGCAGGCTGTCATGGCCCGGAAGGGATGCCTTTGCAACCCCCAGAGCAATGAACTGGGCCTCACGCATGTGTGTGCTTTGCTTCGACAGACGGCCATGATGATCCATAGTCAAGGCCTGCGACTGTTTGTGCCGACCCAGTTTCATCCCACAGCTCTTGATGAGATTCTGACCTGTCTGCAACATGAAACCTTGCACACCAAGGTGAAACATGCCCTGCTCAGCCGAGACTTTGCACAGCTTTGGCAAGACCCTGATATCCTTGCAGGTCTCAGGACGCGATGCATGACATGTGGCGGCCATTATGCCACGGCGGTACTACTTCACCATCTCCTGGTGCAGCATCCGCAGACATGTGTGTGGGCCACTCAGATTGCTTTCCAATTGCATCACTATTTACAAAGTATGCAGACTCAGGATTTTTGTTGCAGCTTATGCCAACAGGTTTTTAATTTGCCTGCTGATGATCAGTCCATGACCCCTGACCGTTGCCGCCTTCAGCATCAGCATTTTGCTACGAACTGTCCAGTTGTTTTGCAGATTGCGGCCCTTCTCCATCCAATCCATGGACGCCCTGATGGATCCCAACGACCAGGCACTGATGGATGGTCTTCAGGCACTGGGCCCGTTGCTCCTGGGAGCCAGAAAACACTTGGATGGAAACGACGATCATCAGCCCAAGCGCCACAAGGCTTCACAAGACGGCGCACTGGCAGATCCAGCGTCGGCAGCCGCAATGACCGACATGCTGAGACTGATGGCCCAGCTCATTCTGAGCCACGAGAGGGCAATACAGTTGCAACTCCGCCAGGACTGCTTCGTTTTGTTTGCACAAGATCGACCAGAGGGCATCATACCCCACCTGAAGGTGATGGCACAGACCTGGCGCCAACAGGCGCCGCAGCATCAGGACGATCTGAAATGGCCCAATCTGAGGACCCACCTGATGGCCGGCGTGATCTCCGAGCTTCATCGACGAGTCCAACAACTGGCGGCCTCGAAACAAGGAGAACAACTGTGGGACCTGGCAGTGGAGAAGGGAACTCTCCTTCCGGACGGGAGCTGGGGCTATCAGAAGTGGTGCCCGGACCTGAAGCAGCTGAAACGGGCACTACGTCCAGCCCTGGCCATGGCCCAGATGCTGAGGAACCTCCAGACGCTGGAAGAGCTCTTTCAGTCGAACAGCCACATCCAGAAGTTCCACAGTCTGAGGACGGATCAACCTACGATTCCCTGGCTCCTTCAACTGTCTCACAGAGACTCCGATGCCTGGTACCTGCTCCAGGACCTGTGTCAGAACACAGTGTGGTCCCTGTTAGGGATGTCGGTCAAACAGCACAACATGGCCCTTTCGAAACCAGCCCATTTGCTTCAACAAGCTCTGAATGGCCTGCCAACCCAGAAAGGGAAAGCGCGGGGGAAAGGGAAGGACAATCAGAAATCCACCCGACGCCAATGACGTTTCAAGATCGGCAACGCCTGAGAGAACTCTTGCTGGGGCTTCAATTGAACAATTCAGGGACAACGTGCTATGCCAACAGTGCATTCCTTGCCTATGTATGGGCCAGTTTGTCCAGATGTCGTTTTCGATTTCATGATTGGGGCGCACGTTCAGCCACCCTGCAGACCATTCTTTGTGACAATGATGGTTCCCCTTTTTCCTTGGATGCGCAAGACTGGTTTGATTCACTTCTTCATGGCTGGAATGATCAACAGGGCCAAGCTGACAGTGCAGAGTTTGGGAATAGGCTTGCCAGATGGCTTGCTTTGGATATCCTATCCAACCGCTGGGAAAGACGCGTGACTGCTTCTGATGTTACAGAAGTGCATGATCATGGAGACCGATTCATGCCACTGACGTTGCAACTGGACCCATCACTGCTCAGCGGCAATGAGACCTCCCTCACAGCCCTGCTTAGGCACTGGAGCCAGGAGCTTGGAATGTGTGCGGGCCTCACTGACCCCAGAGAGCTGCTGGTCATTCATGTGGATCGAATGGTTATGACACCGTCAGGCAGCTTGATCAAGCATGCGGCAGTCATAAATTTTGCATGGGAAGTTCAGGTGCCGGTACTGGCCACGGATACCACACTGACCTCCATGTCGTATACGGTTGTTGCTGTCTCAGCCCACCTAGGTCACACCAACGGCGGCCATTATCAAACGATGTTGCGCACATATCCAGAGGTGTCTGACTTGGCCGCTCCCAGTATGTGGATGTTTTGTGACGACTGCAGACTTCCTGAGCGCTGCTGGGTCTTTCCTGACAACTTCAGCCAGGGCGTTACTGGATTTTGGCTCTGCCGCACAGACAGCCTTGAAATGCATCTCATGGCTCAACCGAGACCTCAACCGGATCCGGATCTGCTCACAGTGCTCTATGCTCACCCTGGGGTGACTGCCAATACATAGGCTACCACGTTCAATGGCCTTGACATCCAGCGACTTTGGCAATGGCTCTCGTTATTGCTTGGACAGTATCTGCAGTTTTGACGTGTTGTCAGACCCCCTGCACCCGGCTTCCCTGCCGGCTTGTCCACACACACACAACTTGCTCACATACAACTTGTCAACACACAACTTCCTCACACACAACTTGCCCACACACACGACCTACTCACACACCACTTGCTCACACACACAACTTACTCACACACAACTTCCCCACACACAACTTACTCACACACAACTTACTCACACACAACTTGTCCACACACGACTTGCCCACACACAACCTGTCCACACACGACTTGTTCACACACGACTTACTCACACACACAACTTGTCCGTGGCAGGCGCGGCACTTGGTGACATCGACCTTCACTTTGCGTGGCAGGCGCGGCGCTTGGCGACATGGACTTTCACTTTGCGTGGCAGGCATGGCACTTGGCGACATCGACCTCCACTTTGTGTGGCAGGCGTGGTGCTTATGGCACTGGGCTGGCTCTGGTGGTGCGCTTGGGCGCCGTGGTCGCCGCGGCTGTTTGCGTGGCATGCGTGGCACTTGGCGACATCGACCTGCACTTTGCGTGACAGGCGTGGCACTTGGCGACATCGCCGCGGCTGTTTGCGTGGCAGGCGCGGCACTTGGCGACATCGACCTTCACTTTGCGTGGCAGGCGTGGCACTTGGCGACATGGACCTGCACTTTGCGTGGCAGGCGTGGCACTTATGGCACTGGGCTGGCTCTGGCGGCGCGCTTGGTTCCCAGTTGACGCCGTTGTCGCCGCGGTTGTTGGCGTGGCAGGCGTGGCACTTGGCAACATCGACTTTCACTTTGCGTGGCAAGCGCGGCACTTGGTGACATCGACCTTCACTTTGCGTGGCAGGCGTGGCGCTTGGCGACATGGACTTTCACTTTGCGTGGCAGGCGTGGCACTTGGGGGCATCGATTTGCACTTTGCGTGGCATGCGTGGCACTTGGTGACATCGACCTTCACTTTGCGTGGCAGGCGTGGCACTTGGCGACATCGGCCGTCACTTTGCGTGCAGGTGTAGCACTTGGCGACATCGACCGTCACTTTGTGTGGTAGGCGTGGCACTTGGCGACATCGACCTCCACATGGCATGGCACTTATAGCACTGGGCTGGCTTTGGGCCCCGTTTGGCGCCGTGGTCGCCGCGGCTGTTTGCGTGGCAAGCGTGGCACTTGGCGACATGGACCTTCACTTTGCGTGGCAGGCGTGGCGCTTGGCGACATCGCCGCGGCTGTTTGCGTGGCAGGCGTGGCGCTTGGTGACATCGACCTTCACTTTGCGTGGCAGGCGTGGCGCTTGGCGACATGGACCTGCACTTTGCGTGGCAGGCGTGGCACTTATGGCACTGGGCTGGCTCTGGCGGCGCGCTTGGTTCCCAGTTGACGCCGTTGTCGCCGCGGTTGTTGGCGTGGCAGGCGTGGCGCTTGGCGACATCGACCTCCACTTTTGGCACTTGGCGACATCGACCGTCACTTTGCGTGGCAGGCGTGGCACTTGGCGACATCGACCTCCACCCATACCGCCCTTTCACCCACAGCACTTTCACACACGACTCTTCCCCAGACACCACTTCTACACACCACGCCTTTACTTTACACACACTTCTTTCACCAACAACACTTTTACACGGAACTTTTTCACGCACCTCCCTTCGACATACATTTCTTGCACACACCGATCCTCCACCATATCTTTTCTCTTTCCTGTCTGTTATCCGGTCCTTTAATTTTTGCTGCCACGCTGTAACGGTGGGTTGAAGCTGCTTTGGATGCGTTTGTGTGTGCGTAGTTATAGGGTGTTTTGGAATCTGTGGTTGCTGATCGCAGTGGAATGGCTGCATGATTGTTGTCACGTTCTGTTGCCATGTGCGTGGATAGATGCGGGTTTGCCACCTGGCGCTGCAAAACGCATTGTAATGGCTGCGTGGATGTTGCATGGGGTTTGCTTTGGGGAGGAAGCCGGAGCACGAAACCATGTGTGTTTCCGTGTAAAGTGGCTGCAGGCGGCGACGGAGGGCAGCTCGTGTGTGCGGCGGTTGCGGTCCGTTCGTTTTGGTGTGTGATTGGTTCCTTGATGGTGTTTTGCAATGCGTGGTTCGTCGTGTGTGCGTAGTTGCAGGGTGTTTTCGAATCTGTGGTTGCAGATCGCAATGTAATGGCTGCATGGATGTATACTTGCAGCTGCAAAATGCATTGTAATGGCTGTACGAATGTTGCATGGGGTTGCTTTGGGGAGGAAGCCGGAGCACGAAACCATGTGTTTTTCCGTGTAAAGTGGCTGCAGGCGGCGGCGGAGGGCAGCTCGTGCGTGCGGCGGTTGCGGTCCATTCGTTTTGGTGTGTGATTGGTTCCTTGATGGTGTTTTGCAATGCGTGGTTCGCGGGTGTTTTCGAATCTGTGGTTGCAGGTCGCACTGTAGTGGCTGCATGATTGTTGTCATGTTCTGTTGTTGCCATGTGCGTGGCTACATGCGAGTTAGCCACGTGATGTTGCCAGACGTGAAGGTTGCTTGGTGCCGCGGCTGCATGCGTAATACTAGTGGCTTTTGCAGCTGGATATCGTAAATCGTATTGTCAGCAGATTTTCTTAGTTTGGAGCTGGTGATTTATCTTTTAAAATTCATTTTAAAAGTGCTTCAAAATCGCGTTTTTTTTTTTGCTTTGGCGCCGAGATCCGGTTTTGGGTACCGCAATTTCTCACAACGTTGCGCGTAGTTTTACTGTGTTTTGCAATTCAATATCTGAAGATAGCATTGTGATGGCTGGGTCAAAGTTGCTGGTTGCCGTGGTTGCCGCGGCTGCATGCGTAATGCTATTGTCTTTTGCAGCTTAGGTCTAGGTGTACAACATACCACAAGCTTCACCTAACCTAGGTACACAGTATAGAAAGTTTGTGCACAAGAGATTCTGTCTGTTACCAAGAATTTTTTGGCATGCAGAAGAACTGAGATCAGTTACGAAGAGGTGAGGTGAGGTGAAAGGTGTTTCTTCAAGTCTTGTAGTACAAAGTACTACTGGGGAATACTTTTTGCAAGCTTTGTAGTACAAAGTCGTACTGGGAAGTGCTTTGTGCAAGCTTTGTAGTACAAAGTATTTTGTAAAGACTCTTCTGTGTAAATGCATCTGTGTCTCAAGCTTTCTGACGTGCAGAAGAGCCGAGATGAGTTGAGACTAGCTTCGGTGAGATGAGAAAGGTTGAGCCGTGCTCAGATGAAATGAAAATAGTTAAGACAGTTAAGAAGAACTTAGCTGACATATGAGAAGGCATGAAATGAGATGAGAAGAGCTCAGATGAGATGAGATGAGGTGAGATGAAGTGTGGAGTGTGAAGTGCAAGTGTGAAGTGTGGAGTGCGGGGTGTGAAGAGTGCAGTGCGAAGTGTGAAGAAAGTGTTCACTTGGCATTGCACTGCGCTGGGGTCGCGCGCAGGTCATGTTCTTGGACAACAACACGGCAACAGCTTCGAAAAAAACGCGCACGCGCGGGGCTGGCTGGCGCACGGCGCACGCAAGTTCTGTAGATGAGAACGGTCTTATAGTATAACCCTAAGGCAACTTCCGCCCCGCCTCGTGCGGGTACTACTGGTTTATTTTTATTATATATATATATACACAAAACTCGCATTTATACACGACCTCACTGCGACGTCACTGGAATGATGGCCAAGCTAAGGGGAATCATCCCGAAATGGCCTTATTTCAGGATTTCCAGGTTGCTTTGAGCGCTGCTTATGCTTTCAGCTATGCTTTAACCATTTTCAACCAATTTTGGTCTCAACCATCCAAAACTGGAGCTTTGTGGCATTAGCTTTACCACTTTAATCCCTTTCTCTTAGCCGAAGGAAGTTTAGAAGTGTAACTTCCGACAATCTGGACAATTGCAGCAGCAGTGGGGAGAGCAGTCAGAGAAGAGACCGGAAGAAAAGAGAAGGTCAGGGAAGAGAAAGGCAGAAGAAAGAAGATCAGGATGTGTAAAAAAGGTAGAAGAGTCGCAAAACACAGTGTTTTTCCAATGTCTTGTCGCCCCGAGGGTCGAGAAGGAGGCTGGCTAAAGCGGCGGGTGCGGAGCCATCTGGGCAAACGAGAGAGGAAAAGTGCACGCCGCTGTGGCGCGGAGCACATTTCGAAGTCAAACAGCATGGGAGCGCTTTTGGACGTTGAGCTCTTGAAAAAGTGCACGCCGCTGCGGCGGGAAGCACATTCGAAATCAAAATGCTAAAAGTACCTCAGCGTCGGAGCGCTTTTGGAAGTTGAGCTCTTGAAAAAGTGCACGTCGTTGTGGCGCTAAGCACATGTGGAAGTCAAAATGGCAAAAGCACACCATTGTCGGACCACTTTTGGAAGTTCAGATGTTGAAAAAGTGCACGCCGTTGTGGTGCAAAGCACATTTCGAAGTCAAAATGTGCAAAGCACTTCACGTTAGGAGCATTTTTGGAAGTTGAGATGTTGAAAAAGTGCACGCGGCTGTGGCGTGAAGCAGATGTGGAAGTCAAAATGTACAAAGCACCACATGCTCGGACCACTTTTGGACGTTCAGATCGTTTTGTTTGGCAGGCGCAGTGGATTCTGCACCTTTACAAAAGTGAGCTAAACATGTGGGTTTTGTAGCAGTTTCAAAAACGATAGCAGGGGTGTATGGAGGTCAGGGAGCAGATTTCTTGAGAGGGGTTGCATTTTGGCGCACCCGCTACGATTACCACTACTATTACAGCTGCCGCTACCGTTACCACTTACCACTTACCACTTACCACTACCGCTACCGCTGCCGCTACCACTACCACTACCACTGCACTACACTACACAACAACGACAACAACGACAACAACGACAACAAGGACAACAAGGACAACAAGGACAACAAGGACAACAAGGACAACAAAGACAACAAGGACAACAAGGACAACAAGGACAACAACGACAACAACAAGGACAACAAGGACAGCAACAAGGACAGCAACAAGGACAACAACAACGACAACAAGGACAACAACAAGGACAACAACAAGGACAACAACAAGGACAACAACAAGGACCACAACAAGGACAACAACAAGGACAACAACAAGGACAACAACAAGGACAACAACAAGGACAACAATAAGGACAACAACAAGGACAACAACAAGGGCAACAACAAGGACAACAACAAGGACAACAACAAGGACAACAACAAGGACAACAACAAGGACAACAACAAGGACAACAACAAGGACAACAACAACAACAGCAGCAACAGCAACAGCAACAACAACATCGACAACGGCAACTGCAAGTGCAGCTGCAACAACAACAACAACAGCAACAGCGACAGCGACAACAACAACAGCAGCAGCAGCAGCAGCAGCAACAGCAACAGCAACAGCAACAGCAGCAGCAACAACAACAACACCAACAACCAACAACCAACAACCAACAACCAACAACCAACAACCAACAACCAACAACCAACCAACAACGAACAACAGCAACGAACAACAACAACAACAACAACAACACCAACAACCAACAACCAACAACCAACAACCAACAACCAACCAACAACGAACAACAGCAACGAACAACAGCAACGAACAACAGCAACGAACAACAGCAACGAACAACAGCAACGAACAACAACAACAACAACAACGAACAACAACAACAACAACAACCACCACAACAACAACAACAAAAACAAAAACTACAACTACCACTGCGCTTCACAGCAACGACAACTACAACGACAACTGCAGCTGCAACTGCAACTACACGACACCACGCTACACTACTTACACTACACCTACAATTACAAGTATCACTGCCCTACAACACAACTACAACTTCTACAACTACAACCTCATTACACCAGTACTACACGACACGCAACACAATGACAAATACACTGCACTACATTATACTACACTACACTACACTGCACGACACGACACTACACTACACTACATCCAGCAGTTGTGGGTGAGGTGACCACTGCAATCACTCCAAAAAGCACAAGTCCAACCATCTTGCAGTCCACCAGTGGGTTCGCTCTCTCATCCATGCATCACAGCAACCAACCTCTCCTATAGGTTCCTATCTTTGAAACCTCTGCCACTGCCTCGTGCGGTACTACTGGTATGAAATGTATGAAACATCCCTCAAACGAAACCCTGGCTTGGTAAGTTCATTGGAGTCCTTTGAGGTGGGTGTTTAATGCGGGAATGGTATTGCGTTTATTATTGAGGCTTATGTCCCCATTTATTATCGCTAGTTATACCCAAAATAATTCCCAGTTGGTTGATCGTAGTATCAATGATACATTGCTTAGAGGAATTTTGGAATTTTGGTGAGTCATAGTGGCTTTAGATCCCCCACATTTCAAGATGCGAAAGCCACGTTGAACCCCTTTGGTGTGTAACCAGTTACCACCTCCATTGGCAGCATGGGATTCCTTTGGTGAGGCGAGATATGCCGCTCGTTCAGCCAGCCTGGGACGCGACCCGTTGGATCCTGTCTCAATGGATCTGGTCTCGTGGACCGCAGTGACTGCAACGAAGCATGGCAAGGTGGGGATCCCCTATCACGCCACTGGGGCTGGTTGCAGAGCGATAACGATGTGATAAAACCAATGATGGTTCGGACCTGAAACGTACTTTTTTTGGGATATCCTCCGGGCTAGCACTTTTTCACTCGCAATAATGAGGGTCTATAGCATTGTTGCTCCCATGCCCATTTCAGATGGCAGATGATTGCGGTTCTGAAGTTTAAGTAGATCAGCTTGGGGGGCAACATATTCTGCAGTCCTTTTTTCTTTCCTGAAATTTTAACAGACGTGAATCCCACCACCCAGTGGGTTGAGTTACTCATATCATTTCGAATAACCACAGGTTTAGCTACACCAGTTAAACTAGCGTCCCACCGACAAGTTTGGCAGTCGCCATCTATCTACCCTTGGCTGTCCCCATATAAAACCCTTGGTCAGGAAGTTTCTGCTTTCACTAGCGCAATTGCGACGTAGAATCCAATGTTGGCTTTTCTTTGATCCCTGCTGAAAAAGTTGCACGAACCCCGCTGCCAAAATACTACGAGCGAGCTTGCAGAAACAATGGGTAAGTAGACGCGTGGTATTGCCGAACCACCAAAAAACTGTTCAGATCCTCAACGAATATTGACGTCCCAGCATATAAAGACCCAAGCAGACCCCGAAGTTAAAATATCCCCTTTGCCTTGCTGGCTCATACCAAGGGCCGGTGTTGGCCGAGGATGCCATCTTACTCGACAAGACAAGAGCTGTTCTATATGGCATAACTATGAAAATTGTACCTGGCAAAAAGAGAAGAAAACAACAAAAAAAACAAAAAAAAATGAAATTACCGAAAGCGACACATGCCCTGCGAGAGCTTCTGGCTAGTTGCACTTGAAATGCCTAGTGAAATAGGTCAGAGCCAATTCAAACACTCTCTCTTGACAAGCTTGAGGAAAACTTGTACATACCAGTAGTACCCGCACGAGGCGGGGCGGAAGTTGCCTTAGAGAGAGAGAGAGATATATATATGTATAAGACCTTTTCTCATCCATAGAACTTGCATGCGCCGTGCGCCAGCCAAGCCCGTGCGTCCGTGCATTCTGCGAAAGTGGTGTCCTGCTTCACATGTCACATTTGAAGCTCCACTTCGCACTTCACACTTCTCACTGTGCTCTTCACACTCCACACTTCACGCTTCACACTTCGCACTTCACACTTCTCACTGCACTCTTCACACCCCGCACTTCACGCTTCACACTTCGCACTTCGCACTTCTCACTGCACACTTCACACTCCACACTTCACGCTTCACACTCCACACTTCACACCTCACACTGCGCTCTTCGCACTCCACACTTCACTTCACACTGCACTCTTAAGACTCCACACTTCACACTCCACACTTCACACTTCACAGTCCACACTTCTCACTTCCCACTGCTTCCTTCACACTCCACACTTCTTGGCTATTTTCATGTCATCTGAGCGCAGCTCAACCTTTCTCATCTCACCGAAGCTAGTCTCAGCTCATCTCGTCTCTTCTGCATTCTGCACGTCAGAAAGCTTGAGACACAGATGCATTTACACAGAAGAGTCTTTACAAAATACTTTGTACTACAAAGCTTGCACAAAGCACGTCCCAGTACTACTTTGTACTACAAAGCTTGCGCAAACTACTTCCCAGTATTACTTTGTACTACAAAGCTTGCAAAAAGTACTTCCCAGTACTACTTTGTACTACAAAGCTTGCACAAAACACGTTCCAGTACTACTTTGTACCACAAAGCTTGCACAAAACACTTCCCAGTACTACTTTGTACTACAAAGCTTGCGCAAAACACGTGCCAGTACTACTTTGTACTACACAGCTTGTACAAACTACTTCCCAGTACTACTTTGTACTACAAAGCTTGCACAAAGCATTTCCCAGTACTACTTTGTACTACAAAGCTTGCACAAACTATTTCCCAGTACTACTTTGTACTACTTTGTACTACAAAGCTTGCACAAACTACTTCCCAGTACTACTTTGTACTACAAAGCTTGCACAAACTACTTCCCAGTACTACTTTGTACCACAAAGCTTGCACAAAGCATTTCCCAGTACTACTTTGTACAACAAAGCTTGCACAAACTACTTCCCAGTACTACTTTGTACTACAAGAGCTTGCAAAAAGTACTTCCCAGTACTACTTTGTACTACAAAGCTTGCAAAAAGTACTTCCCAGTATTACTTTGTACTACAAAACTTGCACAAAACACGTTCCAGTACTACTTGGTACTACAAAGTCTGCACAAACTACTTCCCAGTACTACTGTGTATTAGAAATCTTGCAAAAAGTACTTCCCAGTACTACTTTGTACTACGAAGCTTGCGCAAAGCACTTCCCAGTACGACTTAGTACTAAACCTTGCACAAAGTACGTCCCAGTACTACCGTTTTACAAAGCTTGCACAAAGAAAGCTTTTACATACAGCAAGTTCTTTCGCAGAGAAGCTTTTACACACAGCAAGCTTTTTAAACAGAGAAGCTTTTACACACAGAAGCTTTTACACATAACAAGCTTTTACACAGAGAAGCTTTTACACACAGCAAGCTTTCACACACAGCAAGCGTTTACACACAGAACACTTACACACAGTGCTTTTACACATGGCAAGCGTTTACACACAGAAACTCTTACACAGAGACGCTTTTACACACAGAGAAGCTTTTACACAGAGTAAGCTTTTACACACAAAATCTTTTGCACACAGCAAGCTTTCACACACAGCAAGTGTTTACACACAGAACACTTACACACAGTGCTTTTACACATGGCACTGGCAAGCCTTTACACACACAGAAACTTTTACACAGAGACGCTTTTACACACAGAGAAGCTTTTACACACAGCAAGCTTTTACACACAAAATCTTTCCCGCACAGCAAGCTTTTACAGAAACATTTTTTTACACATAATCACAGCAGGAATTGCAGCTCCAAAACCGGATCTCGACGCCAAAGGGAAAAAAATACGATTTTGAAGCACTTTTTAAAAGGATTTTTAAAAGGAAAGCTACTAGCGCCAAAATTGAGAAAATCTGCTGACAAATCAATATCGCAGCCTTGATGCAGCCACTCCAATACTATTTACGAGATCCAGCTGCAAAAGACAATGGTATTACGCATGCAGCCGCAGCACCAAGCAACCTTGACGCAGCCACTACAATGTGATCTGCAGAGACTGAGTTGCAAAACACAATAGAACACGCGCAACGGCGTCGGAAATTGCAGCTCCACAACCGGATCTCGACGCCAAAGCGAAAAAAGACGATTTTGAAGCACTTTTAAAAAGGTTTTTTTAAAGGAAAATTACAAACGCCAATTTTGAAAAAAACATAAGAAATCTGCTGACAAATCACTTTCGCAGCCTTGCGATTTACGAGATCCAGCTGCACAAGAGAGTAGTATGACGCATGCAGCCGCGGTGCCACGCAACCTTGACGCAGCCATTACAATGCGTTTTGCAGCATCACGTCGCAAACCTGCACGTATCTACGCACGTGGCAACATCAGAAGACGACAATCATGCAGCCATTCCAATGCGATCTGCAACCACAGATCCAAGAAACGAATAGAACTACGCACACAGGAACAACCACTCAAAAACACATAGAAGGAACCAATTGCGTCCGGAACGACCGCAGCCGCACCCGCCGCACACACGAGGTACCATTCATCGCCGCCTGCAGCCACTTTACACGGAAAAATACAAGGTTTCGTGCTCCGGCTTCCTCCCCAAAACATGGCCCATGCAACATTCATGCAGCCATTCCAATGCGATCTGCAACCACAGCTTCAAGAAACGAATAGAACTACGCACACAGGAACAACCACTCGTTGCAAAACACATAGAAGGAACCAATCGCGTCCGGAACGACCGCAGCCGCACCCGCCGCACACACGAGGTACCTTTCATCGCCGCCTGCAGCCACTTTACATGGAAAAACGCAAGGTTTCGTGCTCCGGCTTCCTCCTTACAACATGGCCCATGCAACATTCATGCAGCCATTCCAATGCGATCTGCAACCACAGCTTCAAGAAACGAATAGAACTACGCACACAGGAACAACCACTCGTTGCAAAACACATAGAAGGAACCAATCGCGTCCGGAACGACCGCAGCCGCACCCGCCGCACACACGAGGTACCATTCATCGCCTGCAGCCACTTTACACGGAAAAATACAAGGTTTCGTGCTCCGGCTTCCTCCCCAAAACATGGCCCATGCAACATTCATGCAGCCATTCCAATGCGATCTGCAACCACAGCTTCAAGAAACGAATAGAACTACGCACACAGGAACAACCACTCGTTGCAAAACACATAGAAGGAACCAATCGCGTCCGGAACGACCGCAGCCGCACCCGCCGCACACACGAGGTACCTTTCATCGCCGCCTGCAGCCACTTTACATGGAAAAACGCAAGGTTTCGTGCTCCGGCTTCCTCCTTAAAACATGGCCCATGCAACTTTCATGCAGCCATTCCAATGCGATCTGCAACCACAGCTTCAAGAAACGCATAGAACTACGCACACAGGAACAACCACTCGTTGCAAAACACATAGAAGGAACCAATCGCGTCCGGAACGACCGCAGCCGCACCCGCCGCACACACGAGGTACCTTTCATCGCCGCCTGCAGCCACTTGACATGGAAAAACACAAGGTTTCGTGCTCCGGCTTCCTCCTTAAAACATGGCCCATGCAACATTCTTGCAGCCATTTCAATGCATTTTGCAGCATTCCCTTCATCACCATTTCCCTTCGTCACCACTTCCGTTAATCACCACTTCCCTTCCTCACCACTTCCCATCGTCACCACTCCCCTTCCTCACCACTTCCCAACGTCACCACTTCCCAAAGTCACCACACTCCCTTCGTCACCACTTCCCTTCGTCACCACTTCCCATCGTCACCACTTCCCTTCCTCACCACTTCCCTTGGTCACCACTTCCCTTCGTCACCACTTCCCAAAGTCACCACTTCGCATTGTCACCACTTCCCTCCCTCACCACTTCCCTTCGTCACCACTTTCCATCGTCACCACTTCCCTTCCTCACCACTTCCCTTCGTCATCACTTCCCAAAGTCACCACACTCCCTTCGTCACCACTTCCCTTCGTCACCACTCCCCATCGTCACCACTTCCCTTCCTCACCACTTCCCTTCGTCACCACTTCCCTTCATCACCACTTCTCAAAGTCACCACTTCCCATCGTCACCACTTCCCTTCCTCACCACTTCCCTTCATCACCACTTCCCTTCGTCACCACTTCCCTTCCTCACCGCTTCCCTTCCTCACCACTTCCCAAAGTCACCACACTCCCTTAGTCAGCACCTCCCTTCGTCACCACTTCCCTTCGTCACCACTCCCCATCGTCACCAGTCCCCTTCCTCACCACTTCCCTTCGTCGTCACTTCCCTTCGTCACCACTTCCCAAAGTCACCACACTCCCTTAGTCACCACTTCCCTTCGTCACCACTTCCCTTCGTCACCACTTTCCTTCCCCACCACTTCCCTTCGTCATCACTTCCCAAAGTCACCACACTCCCTTCGTCACCACTTCCCTTCGTCACCACTCCCCATCGTCACCACTTCCCTTCGTCACCACTTCCCTTCGTCACCACTTCCCTTTGTCACCACTTCCCTTAATCACCACTTCCCTTCGTCACCTACCTACTTCCCTTCCTCACCACTTCCCATCGTCACCACTTCCCTTTGTCACCACTTCCCTTCGTCACCAATTCCCTTCGTCACCACTTCTCTTAATCACCACTTCCCTTCCTCACCACTTCCTTCCTCACCACTTCTCTTCGTCACCACCCTGTGTCATAGCTTCTTGTTCTTTTGTTAGGTATTGTTATACCCCACCCTTCATCAAGGTCAATTCCATCTGGTAAAAGTCATTCGTAACTCGGAAGTATTGCTTCCCAACTTCCTTTGATAATTAGTAATTAATTCCATTAGTTAGGCTTTTCCAATCTGCTTCCATTCACAGCGGAGCTTCGTTCAGTTGATCTTAGCATAGTTCCAGGACGTCTGCGGAAGGAAAAAATGTGAGAATGTAACGGTTTACCAGGAGGAAATAAGGATATAATTAGCCAAAATAAGAAAACCACCGATCGAAACCATCCACCAGTCAAGCAAATTAAGCAAGGTTCCTCGGGGCAACCATGCTACCAATCGTTTTTGTTCTCCAAACAGTATGTCCACACTGAGGGGTTCTGACGGTGAGTGTAAAGGCCGGTGCTTGATCAGGGTGCTCCAGCTGGTCTGCAGGCATTTTACCTGTAAATTCTCGCGCAAAAGTGGCTCTTGTGAAATGTCCAAGTGCATTTCGACTGCGCAGACTCGCGCAAAGTGTGGGTCGCGGTCTGGTCTGCGGCATTTTTTTCTGTAAATTCACGCATAGAGTGGCGCTTGTGAAGTGTCCAAGTGCATGCTCGCGCAAAGTGTAGGTCGCACTTTTGGTCTGCGGCATTTTACCTGCAATTTCTCGCACAAAATGGCTCTTGTGCAATGTTGACGTGCATTTCGATTGCGCAGACTCGCCAAAAGTGTGGGTCGCGGTCTTGAGATCCAGCTGGCCCGCAGCATTTTACCTGTCAATTCTGGCGCAGCATGTCTCTTGTGACACGTGCAAGTGCATTTCGATTGCGCAGGCTCGCACAAAGTGTGGGTCGCGGTCTTGGGATCCAGCTGGCCCGCGGCATTTTACCCGTAAATTCTTGCACAAAATGGCTCTTGCGACATGTGCAAGTGCAATTCGACCGCACAAACTCGCACAAAGAGTGGGTCGCAATCTTGGGATCCAGCTGTTCCGCGGCATTTTACCCGTAAATTCTCGCACAAAAATGGCTCTGGTGACATGTGCGAGTGCATTTCGACTGCGCAGGCTCGCACAAAGTGTGGGTCCCGGTCTTAGGATCTTTTTTTTCCTCATTATCATCCTCCTTAACATTATTTTCTTCCTCGTCATCAACATCATCTTCCTCCCCCTTGACATCATCATCCTCAACATCATCATCCTCCACCTCAGCTTCCCCAACATCATCATCCTCCACCTCATCTTCCGCAACATTATCATTCTTTTCGTCATCCTCCTCAATATTCTCCATCCTTAACATCATCATCTTCCTCCTTCTCACCATCATCATCCTCCACCTTATCATCCTCCACTTCATTTTCCACAATGTCATCCTCATCCTCATCCTCATCCTCCTCAACATCATCACTCCACCTCATCGTCCTCAACATCATCATCCTGCACCTCATCATCCTGCACCTCATCATCCTCAACATCATCGTCCGCAACATCCTCATCATCATCATCATCATCATCACCATCATCATCATCATCATCACCATCATCAAACCATCATCAGAACCATCATCGTCACCACCACCATCATCATCACCATCATCACCATCGTCATCACCATCATCAAAACCATCACCATCATCATTATCATCATTATCATCATCACCATCAGCACCATCATCATCTTCTTCCTCATCATCATCGTCATCACCATCATCATCAAAAACATCATCAAAATCATCATCATCATCATCATCATCACCGTCATCATCATCACCATCATCATCACCATCATCATCATCATCGTCATCCCCATCATCATCATCATCATCATCTTCATCACCATCATCATCATCGTCATCATCACCGTCATCATCATCATCATCATCATTTTCATCATCAACATAATCATGCATTCTCCTCCCGCTCCCCCACACTTTTTGGGGTCTCTTGCCGGGATAATTTGTGGAACGATTTTTTTGGGTGACTTCTTGCGGGTACATCTCAGACATGATCAGTAGGTACTGAATGGTATCAACCTTATTGTGCCTATAGTTTTATACGAGTATAAAATATAGGATTATAATATATATATATGGCTTACATATGGGTTATATATATGGGATATATATATATATATGGGATATATATGTCTATGGGATATATATATATGGCATATATAGATATTTATAATATATATAGATATATATAATATATATATATATATATTATATATATATGATGGGATATATAAGGGTGAATGTGGGCAACTTCAATGCCATAAAGAACTACCATTTGGGAATGGTAACATCGTGCCCTTTTATCAATGATGATTTTTCGGTTTCTCATCGGCTGGGGCAGGTGCTGTCCCGCGGTCGAGTTGGTGGGTACGGCGATCCCAAGACGCGAGGATGCGGGGGTTCAGATGTCTTGGAAATTTCCCAGATTTGGATGGAAACATATGGGAAGCTATACTTAGGGGTGCAGGCCAGGGGTTATTCATGGTATCACTATTGTTGATATTGGTGGTGTTTAAGATTAAGAGGAAGGGATTAATAGGGTTCGCTAGTTACATTGGGGAGTTTAATCAATATTTCACCAGCCAATGGCCGGGGTTTGACTGAAAACAGAATAACAATATATTGCCAGCTTTGCAACCCAACAGCGAAAGGTTCCAGCAAGGTTCCAAGACTGCTGCGGTTTTTCGGGGCGTGCATTTTCGTGTCACCAGTCCCCGGCCCCACAGATTGAAACTCAACAGATTCGCTGTTGGGAATTATACTGTGCTGTAATCGGTTTACATATCCGGAAATGCCGACTTACCGGGAAAATAAGGCGTACAACTTCCAACCACTAGATTTTGAGGTACCATATTTTTGGACAAACCCAGACACGCCAATATAGCGAGAAAGTGGATGTTTACATGGATTTTTATTCCCGAGAGCGTCTGAGCGCAGGGTTCTTCCAATAGTGGGGGTCTGTAAAACATCTTCTCATCTTCACATCTTCTCATCTTCACATCTTCTCATCTTCACATCTTCTTATCCTCACATCTTCTCCTCATCCCTCATCTTCTCATCTTCACATCTTCTCATCTTCACATCTTCTCATCTTCACATCTTCACATCTTCTCATCTTCACATCTTCTCATCTTCACATCTTCTCATCCTCCCATCTTCTCCTCTCCTCATCTTCTCACATCTTCACATCTTCTCACATCTTCTCACATCTTCTCACATCTTCTCACATCTTCTCACATCTTCTCACATCTTCTCACACCTCCACTCACATCTTCTCACCTCCACTCACATCTTCTCACATCTTCTCACATCTTCTCACATCTTCTCACATCTTCTCACATCTTCTCACATCTTCTCACATCTTCTCACCTCTTCTCACCTCTTCTCACATCTTCTCACATCTTCTCACATCTTCTCACATCTTCTCACATCTTCTCACATCTTCTCACATCTTCTCACATCTTCTCATCTTCACATCTTCTCATCTCACATCTTCTCCTCTTGCCCTCTCCTTCTTTTCTATTTCTCTTTTGAAGGCGGGAGCAGGGGCAGTGCCAACGAGACGGCACGAAACGCAACCCTTTCGCACGAAATGAGGGTCGAGCGTCAAAAACTGAGGAAAAATTGCGATTTTACTTGTCCTGGAGCAACCCTTTCGCACGAAATGAGGGTCGATCGCCAAAAACTGAGGAAAAATTGCGATTTTACTTGCGCCGGAGCAACCCTTTCGCACGAAATGAGGGTCGATCGTCAAAAACTGAATAAAAATTGCGATTTTACTTGTCCCGGAGCAACCCTTTCGCACGAAATGAGGGTCCATCGTCAAAAACTGAGGTGGGGTTGCGATTTTACTTGTCCCGGAGCAACCCTTTCGCACGAAATGAGGGTCGATCGCCAAAAACTGAAGAAAAATTGCGATTTTACTTGTCCCGGAGCAACCCTTTCGCACGAAATGAGGGTCGATCGTCAAAAACTGAGGAAAAATTGCGATTTTACTTGTCCTGGAGCAACCCTTTTGCACGAAATGAGGGTCGATCGCCAAAAACTGAATAAAAATTGCGATTTTACTTGTGCTGGAGCAACCCTTTCGCACGAAATGAGGGTCGATCGTCAAAAACTGAGGTAAAATTGCGATTTTACTTGTGCCGGACTTGTCTGTGTGTAAAAGCGCCTGTGTGTAAAAAGCGTCTGTGTGTAAAAGCGTCTGTGTGTAAAAGCGTCTGTGTGTAAAAGCGTCTGTGTGTAAAAGTGTCTGTGTGTAAAAGCGTCTGTGTGTAAAAGCTTCTGTGTGTAAAAGCGTCTCTGTGTGAAAAAGTCTCTGTGTGTCAAAGCATCTGTGTGTAAAAGCGTCTGTGTGTCAAAGCGTCTGTGTGTAAAAGTGTCTGTGTGTAAAAGCGTCTGTGTGTAAAAGCTTCTGTGTGTAAAAGCGTCTGTGTGTGTAAAAGTCTCAAAGCGTCTGTGTGTAAAAGCGTCTGTGTGTAAAAGCGTCTGTGTGTAAAAGAGTCTGTGTGTAAAAGTTTCTGTGTGTAAAAGCGTCTGTGTGTGTAAAAGTCTCTGTGTGTAAAAGCGTCTGTGTGTAAAAGCGTCGTCTGTGTGTAAAAGTCAAAGCGTCTGTGTGTAAAAGCGTCTGTGTGTAAAAGCGTCTGTGTGTCAAAGCGTCTGTATGTAACAGTCTCTGCGTGTAAAAGTGTTTGTGTAAAAGCGTCTGTGTGTAAAAGCGTCTGTGTGTAAAAGCGTCTGTGTAAAAGCCTCTGTGTGTAAAAGCGTCTGTGTGTCAAAGCGTCTGTCTGTAACAGTCTCTGCGTGTGAAAGTGTTTGTGTAAAAGCGTCTGTCTGTGTGTAAAAGCGTCTGTGTGTGTAAAAGTCTCTGTGTGTAAAAGCGTCTGTGTGTAAAAGTCTCTGCGGGTAAAAGCCTCTGTGTGTAAAAGTCTCTGTGTGTAAAAGAGCCTGTGTGTAAAAAGCGTCTGTGTGTAAAAGCGTCTGTGTGTAAAAGCGTCTGTGTGTAAAAGAGCCTGTGTGTAAAAAGCGTGTCTCCATACTAACAACAGAAGACTCTGCTCCTCTATGCTCTCGGGCCATCCGTCGTCTAGTTAATGCAGTTTCCACTCAGCGGGAAGCAACTTGAAGCAACACTAAACTTTTGGCATCTTTTGGTCATCTATCTGGCCAGAGGGAGGGTGGAAACAAAGAATCGTTGGGATATATTCTGATGCATCCTTGGTGTAGGTTTGACCACATTGAACTGGAACCTGAGATTGTTTGAACTGTTATTTTCGAAGCTTCCAGGAAGATGCTTGGTTCCAACTTTCGCGGGGCCCACAGTGCCACAGTGCCATTAAAAGCACCTTTTGCCATGACGCAATTGACATTCCAGTGAGACCTGGACACTTGTAGCCTGGAACAGTTTCTTGCTGGATTTGGTATGTTAATTCTTGAGACTTGTGATGATCGTGATGTCGGTTTGATTATTGCCTTCAGTGGTTTCCAAAGGTTGGTCATGATCGTGCCTCCCATGCGGAACGTGCTGCTTTGTTGCGCTTGTTGCGTGGCAGAAAGCTGGGAGTTGAAATGTTGCAAGCGCCTTCCCCCGGAAGTTGCATCTTCACTGTAGGCCTGACATGATAACCATTCGACCAAGACCTCGCCATCCCACCTGATGTTTTCTTGGCATTCTGTGGTGCATCCTTTCTCTTCATCTCAGGTTGATAACTGTGGGGAACGCCCGGTGAAAATCATGACCTGGTGGGGATACTGGGGCAGGTGTCCCGGCCTTTTTTCTTTGCCTGGGTCAACAACCCATGCATCTGCAAGAAAAATGGTTGATGAAGTTAGTTGATCCAGTTGACCCATGCCGTGGTGCAGCCGGGAGGCAATGAGGTCGTAAAAAGTGTCAGCATGCTGATTGGAAGGTGTTTTTGGAGATGGGTCAAAACACGAAAGAGATGGGAATATGATGAAAGATGGTGACATGTGGGGATGGGCCAAAACCTATTAACACTATATTTCCATAGTTGGGGGAATTACCATCCATTAACCAGCTATTTTGGTGTTTACCAATGTACCAAGGATTTTGACCCATACCGAAACACGCGATTGGTCCACTGGTCGGTATGGAAGCAACGTTTACCAACCCGCAGTTGGTTGATTGTCAGGGGGTCATGCATACTTAACATGAAAAGGACGGACATTGGATTCTGGAATTTGTGAGACACAAGCTAAGCGATGGGACCTGTCCAAATATCGATACCTTCTTGGAAGGGTGTGTCATGTACGTAATTTTCCTTTAAGCGATGCCTCCAAGTTTGCCATACATCATTTTTGTGCAAACGTGTCGCAAGCGATGGGACCTTTCCAAATTTGCGGATGTCCTTTCCATGAACCTGGAGTTTCCGAGATTGCTCACACACACATATATATATATATCACCTATATATATATATAGATACACGCATAAAAATATTGATATACATATATATATATATTATATTCATATACATATGTATATTAACATATATGATATGATATATATATAATTTATCATATATATTTAGATAACATACAATGATATGTTTTATAACACATCATATATAACATATTATTTGTATATATATCTACATATAATAATAATGTAATCATCAAAAAATAATAACAATTCTAATGATAACAATCAGAATAATAACAATAATATTAATTCTAATGATAACAATCATAATAATCACAATAATAAGACTAATAGCGATAACAATGATTATGATGATAATAACAACAATAAAAAATAACAACAATATGAGTAATAATAATCGTAATAAAAATAATAATATATATATATATTCACATACATATTTACAGAACCAATCGTTTTTTTTCCGTCAGACTATCGGATTGCTGAGTCCACCAAAGCGGGTCTTCCCAGCATCTAGGTAAAAGTTGAGGTACAGCTATTGCTGGGCTACTTGAAAGTACCCCCGCTTTTTGGAATAATCTGCGTTCCGGCTGGTTAAGTCCTCATCTAGACCGGCATGGGTCAAAATGAGGTACGCCAATAGATATCCAATGATTGTGCCATACATTATTAACCATGTATTGGTACTAACCATGATTGGCTATCTATTTTTCCAATGATTAGATGGTTAGTGCATGTTAGAACTAACAGCCAATCAAGAAGGAAAATCATAATTTTACATATATCATTAGTACAAATGAGGATTTCTTCAATCATAGTTAGTACATGATTGGAAATCCTCGTTTGGACATAGAGAGGCACCCCTGTGCGATGCCACGCTGGCCACGCTGGCGCACCGGACTTGCCATGGGCCTTGTGGCACAGCAGCTTTTGCGCATGGCAGGCGATGAAGTACTTTTGGCTGTTCATTGTGATTCTAGTAGCGACATGTATGTATGTATGTAATGTAATGTAATGTAGTGTAGTGTAATGTAATGTAATGTAATGCAATGTAATGTAATGTAATGTAATGGTAGGTATGTTTGTATGTATGTAATTAATGTATTTATGTATGTAATTAATGAATGTAATTAATATATGTAATTAATGTATGTAATTAATGTAATTAATGTATATATGTATGTATGTATGCATGTATGCATGTATGCATGTATGTATGCATGTATGCATGTATGCATGTATGCATGTATGTATGCATGTATGGATGTATGTATGTATGTATGTATGTATGTATGTATGTAATGTATGTAATGTATGTAATGTATGTAATGTATGTAATGTATGTAATGCATGTAATGTATGTAATGTATGTAATGTATGTAATGTATGTAATGTATGTAATGTATGTAATGTATGTATGTAATGTATGTATGTAATGTATGTATGTATGTGTGTGTGGTTATGTATGTATGTATGTATGTATGTATTGTAATGTATGTATGTTTGTTTATGTATGTATGTATGGTTATGTGTGTATGTATGTATGTATGTATGTATATATATGTATGTATGTATGTATGTATGTATGTATGTATGTATGTATGTATGTATGGTTATGCATGTATGTATGGTTATGTATGTATGTATGGTAATGTATGTATGTATGTATGTATGTATGTATGTATGGTTACGATTGGTTACGCATGCATGTATGCATGATTGCATGTATGCATTTATGCATGTATGCATGCATGTATGCACGTATGCATATATGCATGCATGTATGTTTGCATGTATGCATATATGCATGTATGCTTGTATGTTTG